TTTCATAGTCATAGGAATTCAGAATGTGGGACAACCTTTATAAGCAATAAAAAAAAAACTATAAGTTGTTGAAATATACCTTGAGGTTGAATGATGATCACGTATTATGTATTACCCATATTTCGACATTTCAGCATAGCTTCTTGATATTTTCTAACCTAATTTACTGGGCTTTGTCTGGTCTGAAATGTATTGCCAAATCTTCGTGACTGTTTGTCAACAAAGCATAAACACAATTAAGCTTTGATTGACAGACACGAAGCATTAGATAAAAAGGCATGAGACTATAAGAGACTATAAGTTGACCTGATAGATTAGATGGAAGACCAAGTATTAGATGGAGGACCAAATATATATGATGGTATAATGCACGATAGGTGACTGTATGAGTTCTATATATTATTCCTGATGTGGTAAAACTGTCATTTTGTTGGAAGATTCAGCTAGTTAAAGCGAGAATAGTATACAGAATTTAGCCGGGAGCTATCTTGCTATTGAAACTATTTTTTTGATTTATTTTGTTCTTATACTATGTTCGATCTCGCGAGTGTGAAGTACCCTATGTTGGTGAGATAATTTAGGTTGATGGCGAGGTCATAGTTCCAATATACCTTCCTACGTTTCACAGGCCTTTGACAATATAAATATCCATTATTACAAATCAGTTCAACACAATATTGCAATATTTGTGTCTGTATCATATCATTATCCCATATTTCACATTCCGAGATATTGGATTTCCGTTCCCATACCTGTTTTCATAATGCCTACGTCATACCCCTTTTTGTTCAAACAAACTGATTTATTGTGAGACCAAAATACCACATTGTCTACCCTTAAACAAAGTCGATTTAATGTGAGAAATAAATGGGTATTTGCCTAATCGAACTTTATATATGTATGGTGAAATCATACGTTTTCACCGCAGATAATCACGTGGTGCAAGACGCTGATTTCCCATTCAAAAAGCTATAAATATGCATATGCTTGGCAAGACGGTATATTTATGATCAAATGCCCATGCTATTCAAATGATAATACATAATAACAAAATCATCCAGATTTATACTTATTACTGGCCAATTCGGGGACGCTTATTAAATCGACACTCGATGGCGCTTGAGATTTGAAACAATACCAAGTTTGGAATACTTATTTGTGTAAGTGTTAATACAGCAAATACCAGTCACATTATAAAATCTTAATTGTTATCTTTTTAGCCTATATGAAATAAAATTATTTGGCTCTTACTTTGTTTTGCTAATCGACAAAGGCAATTTTCCCGTCATTATGGAATTTTTATTTGTCTAAAAAATCACGCCATTTGCAATTTTGTTAAATTTGTCTCAGTGCACTTGGCATACATCTGTCGTCTTTCATAATGAGGCATTAATTTTTTTGCCCTTTTATTAGTTCGCCTCTTTCTCGTTTTCTTGACTCTGGGGAAATTCGCCTTCAGCGGTTTCGCTTTGTTTAATCCCGGTAACGCCCTGTCATAAATCCATTAACTGTGAGAGATATTTGGCCGGGTGTCGGATCGTGTGTCATTTTCTTGTTCCAAACTTGTGCTGTCATTAACCTTATATTATTAATGGACGTGCACACAGTATGATCAAATATTTGCTGTCATTTTGCGTATTGGGAATTTCTAGGACTCGATTCAAAATTTTAAGGGCTTATATAATCAAATGTCGAGTCTGTGGAGTGCTAGATGTGCTTCTATCAGTTTTTAAACGGCGAAAAAGAAAAATTTGTCGAGTTGTCCACAGTTGCAAATTTAAATCCATAGTTTGAATACGCAAGGGAGTTAGATCAACATTGTTTAGTGTTTTGTTTTGGAAGTTACTAAGGCCACTCATTGGCCATATCTCAGACAAACAGGTGTAGAAGTTTGTTTGTTTTTGCCTATTGTTTTCATGGAATCTATTGTATAGGTACGGAACACCACATCGTACCACCGCCTTTCAATTCTCTTTCGCAATTTGTTTTGCCAGGAAAACGTGATATAGCGAGAATGCGAGAATGGATTGAAACTTACTATTTTGAAGGGGATAATAAGCAGTAGGCGAGGAAGTTATAGTTATTAGATAAGAGTGTAGCCTGGCGTGGCGTGTAGCGAACGTTTACGAAAGCTGAGCAACTGAAATACCGTCCGTAGCCGGGTTTCCAATCGTACAACAAGCAGAGCGTTCTAATTATTGTTGCTTACAATAGACCTAGTTAATCACTCAAGTTAGTTAGTGATAAATGTGAGTACAATTCGCTATGTGGCGTGAATTAATGATAAAAGAGTTTTTGGACGCAAAGGAGGTTTTTACCAGTTTTCCCATAAGTTTGAATTATATCGAAAAAAATGGAAGTAAATTTATATCAGTCATTATTTATATAAATAAACTCAGCAACAACGTTTTTGTTTATGAAATTCAACCCATATATGACGTCATAGCCTAGGTCAGTGACCAGATTAAAGCAATGTCGATTCCAGTTTGAATTCTCGACTGCTTCATATATTATTCAGGAGATTGGCTTGAATATAAAACCAACTCCTTGTCACGCATGATATATAGATAAGTCTTGCATTACATGCATAATTCAGGCACATCCACATTTGGGGTGATGTAACTAAAAAAATTGAAATTTCCAGCTCTGATTTGTCTTTGAAGTCAATTCAAAAAGACACTTTATTTATTAATGCGAGTTGTAATGCCAGCTTCAGGTATTTCGTTATAGCAGAGCTTGGTGGTATTTCTTTACTCCGAGGTGTAATAATCTTTTTAATCCTCTTGTATGAATTATTTTTAGTGTAAATATATATTTTTCGCTTGATTTCAATCAGGAAGATTCATTTTTTTTTGTTAAAGCGAATTGTAGGTTTAGCGATTTTGGAAATCCAAATATTGCCGGAAAAAATATTTTAAGACCGGGAAGTATTTAGTTAATAAATATATATTTTCAGATATAATTGAGTGAATTAAGCAAAAACCGCGATTGATGTGGTTATGATACAAGGATGTAATTCGATAAATTTAATCGTGATTGCATTCAAACAAACAAAGCAATATGGTGTTTTCTTCCCAACGTGCAGAATCACCAGTCATCACATGGTCTTCTTATTATACATTGAATTGAGCATTTTAAATAAGATTGTGTGACATTTTGAGAATTCATGTATGAAGATAGTTCTGTAGTTCAATTTCATCTTCAAGTATTGCAGTGTATAGATTGTAAGGAACTTCCGTATGTTAGTTAACTGTATATTCCCTGTAGGTTCAAGTTTAGCGTTACCAGACATCGATAAGGGAATATAATAAATAGTCGTTATTTATTACATTTGTAAAGGAAATCGTGTTGTATACATGATGTATTTAATCGATTTGATTTTCGACGAGAATAAAGCAATACATGACGTAACTCATTGCATGAACACTCGTGCAGTTATGGATTTTACTCTGGTGGTAGAATGATAGCCGCCAAGCTGTTCCTTTTTTTCTTTTGCACGTTTCATATTTTTCATATTGAGACATTGCTTGTTTCTTCCCGTTTTTCTTATATGCATATATTGATCAGTTTCAAACTTACATGACTTCATGCAATTTTGCAGCAATCAATAATTTGAAATCTTGTGTGTCTGTCTCGAAAAAAAAACAGAAATATTGTCTTTGTTGATTTGTAGGGAAATCATGTGCCATGCTATATTCAAATATAACACTTCATACTTATTTCATTCTTTTATTCATAAATTACGCACTGAAGTAAACCCTCGATACTCTTGCTGTTTTGTTCTCGATAAGATTCATCTCAATTATTGCAGTATAGCCAATATGTGATTGCATTACATCGTGTCAGCTTTCATGTCATGCTATCCGTATTTGTACAGCCACCACCACAGGCTGCCCAACAAGTTAGAAAAAAAGTACAGGCACATTGTTTTGTCCGGTCACGTGGATCATTCTTAATTGCTTTCAAATCAGAAGATTTCTTCAAAAATATGGAACATCCCTGCCAATGTGTCATTTCGTATCCACCGGTTGGGAGCTTCTTGCAAATGCTTTTTCTATACTTCTGTATATGTAACAATTAATTATTGTTATGATTAGGATGACTGTTAGTGGCGCGGGGACCACAAGCTGGATCCTATTTCTTTCTTAGTTATCTCTACGCCCTTACATTTTGTATGTTTCCATTGTGTCATTTTATAACCAAACGACTTTTCGAAGCGATGATGTAATGTTATGTTTGATTGTATTATGTGAATAGGAAACCATTGAATTGGTAGCGAAATCGTCTTTTGTCAGTTCAAACTATTAGGTCGTGTTCCTCATTGCCATACTCGCAGAGTATGTACACTCCAATATTTTCTTGTGTGTTGCATCATTTGTCACGTATGTATAGTGCATAGGGCTGTTTATACATTATGCTCTGGACACATTTTTTTTTCTTATGAACTTGACTTATGGAGCACGAATTCTTACTCGCCTTCTGTCACGTTTCATGACCATCTTGGCATCTCGGCTTCCGGTCATCATTACATTTGGTTGCTGAATGTCATCTGAATTGTCTATACGCCAGAATGACATTTATTTATTATTATGCCAGATACTTGCCAGAGACTGCATTCAATTAAATGAATTTCCTGTATTTTATATTTATACTAAATTTCTCCCGATATGAAGACAATTCTTAATACAAAGAGTTATAAATTTGGTTCATGGTGCAACAAGGTTTTAAGTACTTTCGCCACTATTTTCATTAGGAACAAAATCCCGTGCACCAAGATTGTAATAACTTGGACAAACAATGCCAAACCCCAAATTTTTCTGTTCTTTCCAAATGTAGTGGCTGTTACTTATCACTGTCTGCTTGTTCAGAGCTTTGTCCCGAGTGTAATATGCTCAAAAACGTAATGAAGCATTAAAGTTTTGCTAAGTATATGCGATTATCAAATGTATTCGTTTCGTTTTTATAACGATTTTTTTTTGTTATTTTCATGCATATTTTAGTTTTGAATGCAAGATCAGCTCCTCCTGGATATCATGATGGAATGGTTGGAAACCAACGTGGATTTTTTCCTAAAGATTGCGTAGAGGAAGTCAGATTGAGGAGACCTCTTGCTGATACAGGTATGGTGAACGCTTATTATCATTGTTTTAGTATGAAAGGGTTTTGACTCAGCGTTTATCACTCCTTGTTGGGCGTAGGGAAAGCAAGTAGGCTACGTAACTGATGTGTTTATTCAACAATTGATTGCTATTTAATGTGGTAATACCACGGGTTTTGCACTTTCAAATAATCACAATAACAAAGTTACAATAATCCTGCATACTGTTCCAATGAAAATATTGTTGGAAACTTATCGTTGATACACCCCAGACAACGCTCGTTCATTCATATTTTGCTCGAATATTCGAAAAAAAAACGAATTCGAATGTAAGGCTATTGTCATTCGACTCATTATTACTCCAAGATGGATTTCCTCGCTTTTTCATACTTGCGAGTATCTTCGCTTTTAAACTAAAGAACAGTCGTGATCTTGCGCGAGTATAAGTTTCCTAGAATATCCTCAATCTTACGGTCATTCTTCAATAAGAATAATTTATTAATTTATTTCGATCCGGTCATTAATTCCACCAGCATTTTCTAAATATAGCTCCCCTTTTTCGCAGTATTTCAGCAAAACAATATTTCAAAAATTGTATCATTGAATTATTGAGTGCCAGTGTATCGTGTGTTCTGCACCGTGAATCGCGCAGTGTGATCAGATATTGAGGGCTCGTTCTAGGAAAGAAATATAACTCAGTTGAAAGAAAATTTTAAGTTTGAAAAATACGATTTTAAAGTATTCCAAAACTGCACTGCAATTGTGTTCAGCAAAATAGACATATGTTATATATACAGTATAACGATTTCGACAAAAAAATCGAAATAACATTGAAGGTTTTAATTTCTGTTACACTCGTCATACTGACACAGCTACATAGAAATAACCATTTCCGCATTTTCCTATTTCTAAGCTAAACGTTCGCCATTGTGGTTTTCGAAGGTTATAAACAATGTACGCATAATTACCGTATATATAACGGTTGGTATCAAGAGAAGCCAGTTTTTATGTAATTACTCAGAAGGGTGCTGTTTATTCACTTATATCGCAGTTTTATATAAGCTTAATAAATAGATGCAGCAAAATAAAAGAACGATGTGTAATTTTTGTTTTGAAACTTATAATCATTCAGTTACTTTAAACAAATTTCAAAAAAGTTACTGGAATATTGAAGTCAATTTAAAAGATTAGTATCATATGTCCAAATAGGAATACAGTATAGCGTATTTACACTTATTCTACGTCCAAAGTCAACTTTAGGAGAGATTTTGTTGTTTACTGACTCGTTTTAATTATTTAAAAATACATTTCAATTTTACCTATTCTGTTTTAATTACAATTTTGAACTGTTATTAAATCCTGAAATTCTTGGTAGCGTAGTTGGTAATCATTTTTCTAAAAAGCTCCGAAAGCGAGAAAAATCGTGACTCTGTTTTTGTCAGTTTTTTTGAAGTGACGCCAAACTAGGGTTGGTTCCATTTGTTATTTAGACGGATGTACTGCCGCAGGCGTGCAGTGCCAGTGCGTAGCTTTCTAACGCAGACAGGTGTATATTACTGGTATTGCTTTGTTCTTTAAATTAAACACTGCATGAAATATAATTTGTGAGTTTTAATAGTCGAAGTTTTAGATTAGAACATAGCACAGTTCATTTATTTTATCAAGTGATTTATTATATTGTGTGATTAGCATGACAGGTAGTCGAACGAACTTTCTGCGGATTTATTTAATTATATCTTGATTGGTTTCATAATGTGCATGCCGATATTAAGAAATTGAACATTTAAGGACTATCAAATTTGTATGATGCATTATTATAAGTTTCAACCAAATTAGCACTTTTGGGGAAATGCAATATTAATGTGGCCTAGGAGTTGAGTCAATAGCATGCTGATTTAGATACAATCTTTGGGGTTAGGTTAGTTCTTTCATGTTATGTGTTTGCTAGGATTTTCATAGTTACTCGATCATATTATACGATAAAAACGATAATGTGAATGCTCATATTTTGATTCAATTATTGCAAAATGCGGATTAATTTCACCAAATTTTGTAAACGTGCTTACCGTTTCATAAACAATTGTTATGATGACAATCAATTTGGAATAGTTAGGCACAGTTAATGTTCTAAAATCAGTATGACGTTTATTGTCTGGTTTACTGTTTTCATTTAATCCCACTTCCGCATTGGATTTCTATTTTGTAACTTATTCACGACAGTAAACAAACGGCGTTATTAATTTATTACCGACATTGTATTCTAAATGAACTTGTCCGCTAGTTTAGTTCGAATCGGAATTTTTTTATCGAGCAAAAGTAGGAAAAATATTCTTCGGAAATACTTACATTCACCAAAATTTTCGTTTGTCATTTTCTCAAATTTTTTCATTTTATTGCTATCATGCTGTGTTATAGCTGCTTTCCCTACTTTTATCCGAAACAGCATATTGGGATATTATGCTAAAAAACGGCGTGAAATTTGTATTATATTTAGGCGTTTTTCGGACAAAAATTACCGTACTTCAACATTGAAAACATATCGATTTTTGTGCAACAGTAGAAGCTAGTTTTACACTACACTTATGTATTCGTGGGTTTCGGGACTAGTGGTACAAGTGTGGCATGTGGTACATAGCATTTTACACAGAGCTGCGTTCTTTTAAGTTAACATCATGTTCATACCATATACTATATAGCAACTGAAGCAGATTTTTAATGTTTATTTATTTCCATCATTGAAGGCATAACTTTATGTAATCAAAGTATAGTATCGTACAGTTGGAATATTTCAGCTATAGAAAATCGCAATGAGAGAACGGATATATTCGCGCAAGGAGCGCAAAAATGCTTGGCTCGTTAACACTGATTTTTTCAATGATGATCATGATTTTTCTGCCTCAGGTCAACGAGCAACTTCTGACAACGTTAACGAAAGACATTCAAGCGGGAAATTCAAAAGTTCGACCAAAAAGCAACATACAAGGTGATTAAAGTGTTTTCAATATTTTACATAGAAATATAGAAAATGTGAGGGTTCAAGTCTTTCTGGTGATTAGTTGATAACGTCGCCGAGAAAGTTTATTTATAAATTTTACATGACTTGTTTTATATATGACTTGAGTCCCTCTCACAACACCGCTTTGCAGGATTAGATCCGAAAAGATGCAAGACCGACCGACATATTTAGCATTGGTTTATAATTTTTTTCATATGAAAACTCGCGTTCGCGCTTGTTTTCTTGGCTTTTGTTATTGTATTATGATATCACAATAATAGCTGTATTGCGTGCAACAAACTATCCTCGTCTTGCCAACTTGATTTTCGGTTCGTTTTCTCTAGTTGAACTAGACGCCTTTTCGTGGCCTTTGTATCATTTTTCGCCATTCCCCTAAATTAGCCATTTGTAAGTAAGGGATAACGGACAATTAAACCATGTTCTGGCTAACGTGAGTATATTTAATCGTCTGTTTTATTGCTGTTAATTGTGCCCTGTTAGCCTAAGGGCTGGATAATAATCATTAGGCGACTAAAACATAATATAGTGTCGTTGTATATGGCAGAAGGCGATAGTAGGTTTTCTTAATTAGAAAAGATATTTTACTAAAAGAAGAGTAAAGTTAGGAACTAATAAGTTTAGAACTTAGTTTGAAAATGTGTTTCGAAAATTTTAAAATATTCGCAATATGTTTTTGCTATTTAATTTGACATAGTATAAGTACAGTGAAATTATGAATTTTGCAAATATCGTGATTTTAATATTTTGCCAACTTTTAAATTTCTGAAATTAAATTTTGGTTTCAATTTTGAACAAAGTAGTTATATTTAGCTCAGTCTAAACATTGGGAACATTATCAAGTTTATTATTAATCAGTCTGCGTCTTTTCATCAAAATTAATCTTACTGAATCACGTCCATGGCCACGGTCACTGCCACTGCAAGATAGTTGCTAAAATCTAATCCGAAACTGGTTTGTTGCTATTTTAAACTTATCTCTGAATAGGAGTGTGTTTGCACGATCGTTCCACCATACGTAATATGGATATATATATATTGCTTGTACTTCTTCTCGAATATTATAGTATTGGGGATTTATAGATTTGTAACGTAGACTGATGTATATCGCCCAGGAAGATTAGAAACTAGATTTTGATTTAATTCGTCTTTTTAGGCGGTGTTTTTCACGTCTTCGCTCTGAACTAGGCTCTGCTGATACGTAAGAAGTTTCTCAAGTACAGATTGACCAGTGTTTATTCATTTAATGCGTTCAATTCGTTTGCTTTCTGCTGTTAATATTCCTGCATGTTAGACAATAATATTTGGTACAGATTATAAGGATAATTCACATTTTTGAGTAGGGATCAGTGCGAGATTGTTCTTGAGTTTATAAGATTGAATTTCCTTTTTCAGAGCATGATTGGCTTCCGATAACAATATATTTTAAATCTTCTATCAGGAATGTTAAAATTTTGTTATATTCCTTCAAAATGCAGTGCCGACGGTTCATCTCTAACACAAAGGAATACAATGCCGGATTCGGTGAGCATCGTATCATTTGAATCCAACGATGAAGTCAATACAGGTAATTATGATGGTTTTTTATTGTGATGTAAAGCTGTTATATGTTACAAATACATAGGGTTTCTCCAACTGGCCCCTCGGGCCTCCTAGGGTGGCCTTGAGCAAACACCTTCACTGAGGGCACCATTTACGATGACTACATGATTTTAAAGTAAATTGACGATTCTTTGGTTAAAGCATTTTTTTTTTAATTTTTTTCTATTTCGTTTGTGGGCTTTTCATTATTAAACATGGGAATGAAATAAGCGATGGAAACTCGTTAAAAGCAAAATTAGATATTTTTATCGGAGAGAAATTGGGTCACAGAGCGTCTAGAGTTTTTATGAAGAGGGCCACGTATCACGAAAATTCATGAACCATTATTTTGGGGTCTAGTTTTTCACGTATCACGAAAATTCATGAACCATTATTTTGGGGTCTAGTTTTTCACGTATCACGAAAATTCATGAACCATTATTTTGGGGTCTAGTTTTTCACGTATCACGAAAATTCATGAACCATTATTTTGGGGTCTAGTTTTTCACGTATCACGAAAATTCATGAACCATTATTTTGGGGTCTAGTTTTTTGCATTTACAGTAAAAAAAAATCTTTCAATTATGTTGACACACTTAATAAGTCCATAATTGGTACATAGCAGAAAAAAGTTTGGGTGCCCTGGTCTACATTGACTAATAAACGACGTTTCCTTGTTGTCATATTGATATACGTATTATAATTGTATTATGCAATTATTTAGTTTAGTTTTGTACATCAGAAATCATATTTACTATGCAGCGTTATTTCACGGAATAGCAAGTAATTTTAATATAACATTTTAAGCTTAGATGACGTGCCCGCGTTCCGAAATATGCAAATTTGCTTACACTGTTTGCTAATCTTTAACGAAATCATTCCAAAAAATAAATCTATTTTCTATGTTTTGTGATAAGAAACTTAACTCGTTATGATTGAATGTTCTGATTGCTTTCATAATTCTATTGTCTCGAGGTTGTATCGTTTCGTCTTACGATGCTTATTATGGAATATTTTGACGAATCGCGTTATTTTCAGCTTTGTGATAATTTAAAAGTTTTCATATGCAATCACTGCATGAATATTTCGTGTAAGTGTTACACAGTCGTTGGAATACGACATGGTAAGACGTGATGGGCCAGCTTCGAAAATAGAATTCTAACCTTTTGTGTTAAAAGAGCATACTGTGTATTCAAATTTGACGTTTGTTTTACGTACGACTTAGTGATAACCGGAAGAGAGTGTAGTATATCATGTTAGGTCTGACGATTAGATTCGTTAAAGTTAAGTGAGATCATGCATGATTGTTTTATAACTGATTTCTAAGCGGAAAGAAAACGTCACGAATGACAACGTAATTTTTCATTTTTTTAATATTATGTTCTTTTTTTGCGTCAGGACGGAAGTCTACATCGTCCAGGAGCGAGGATTTGGCAAATCTCCAAGCAACCTCCGTCTCCGGTATATTTCATAATACAAGAAGTGTAGCTTTATGGAAAGGCTCAGACGGATTTGGTTTCATCCTAAGGGGAGCAAAATGTAAGATTTAACACAAATTGAAAATTTTCATCATTATTTATGGCTGGCCCTTCTTAGGTTACGTGTGAACGTATTGCATGTAATTGATAAGGACCCAAACAACAAAACCCAGCATATTTGGAACATATTATTCTAGAAAGAACATAACTTTTGTGCATAACGTCCTGGATTCCTTAAATTATTGGGTACAATCATGCAAAAAAAAGTGGTTAAAAACGTGTTTTCGTAGAAGTATTCGAGAAATTTAGAGTTTTATTTTTGGCCTCTATGTATTTTCAAATATATTTTAAAATCGTTCGGTTTCCATGGTTCAATACACATTCCAAATATATTGATGTTATAATAAGCTGATGTCTGGTGAATCCAAATCAAATTGTATTATTTCCTGTAAAATGATTTTTCCTCTACCTAATGCCGCCACCAACCTGAACTGCAAACTCTGCAAAACATGGGCATTCGCTTACTTACACATTATTACGTCATAACACGTGAAACTCCACGTTTGGCGTAATCGATACTAGTTCATACCAATGCAGTTGCTATACTGAATGTGCCAATTTAACTTATTTAGTAGTTTTCGATGACAAATTTAGGATTGCTATTTTTCGTTGTTGAATGTTTTATCGAATGTTCACCAATATAGATATTTGTAGTAATGCCTTGCAGGGAAGAGGCCATTCAAATGACCATTGGTACCAAATAACCACAGCTTTTTCTGAGTAATCCTTGGTATATATTCGTCATCTCAATACTATTCTGCTTCATCTTACCGTATTCATTATTTCTATTTCATATTTTCAGCCGAAGGACCAGTCCACGAATTCAACCCGTCCGCAAGATATCCAGCATTGCAGTATTTAGAATCAATTGAAGAAGGCAGTAACGCTCATAATGCAGGATTACGCTCTGGAGATTTCATTATTAGGGTATGTTTCTACTTTAATATAACTTGGGACAAAAGAACACATAGAAAGGTTAAATTGCGTGCCCGATAAGCCCGTGTGGTCCGATCGTTGATTTAATTGGGTTGGCACCACGGTTTAAACTTTACGCCCGTTGCTTCATCCATAGGGCAAAAAAATCGGGTAGGCAATTCTGAACCGGAAAAATCCAGATCTTTCCAGATATAGTATCTTCTTACATTTGGTGACTGACTGATCGAATAAAAAATATGAATAATTAGTGTTCTTATATCATCTTCGAATTAGGCCAAAATTTCATGGCTGAAATGCTGATGACAATATATCAATTTCTGTATTTCCTGGCTGCTTCATATCTTAACATGACAAGAATTGAAATTTTTAGACCAATTTATCACCAAATATGTAATATTGGAAACCCGTTTTTTTTCGATTTGTTAGATAGACGAATGTGACCTCGGGCATTAGTTTATTCCGTTGGATTATGTATCTTTTACCAAATTATATTAGGGAACAAACTGGTCTCCATTTATGCAGGCGCCCATACATGGCACACAATATTCAAAATATTTGGCACCCATTAGTTGACTAACCTCAAAATTAGTCGTATTGATTTCGGGTTTTGTACGCCCATTTACGAAAACCTCGGTTTTGTTCCTTCAAAAAGGGAAAAAATACGAAGCACGACTATTGTGGTGAATTGTATAATTTATTTCGTTTTCTTAGATCGGAGATACAGACGTTAGAAAGTTTGGCCACCAGCAGTTAGTCGACACCATACGATCATGTGGAGAACCACTACATATGCAAGTTACGACGGTCATCAATAGGACACAGAACGGAGATACAGTTTCGCTTCATTCAAGTAAGATTTTTTTTTTTTTTTTTCAGTTTTCTATATCGCAAGTATAGAAGAATATGATAGTGATTATATCGAATTGATATTTTTAGTTTTTGCATGGTTTGTTTATTTTTTTTTTCACAAACTTGAATAAAGGCTCAAACTTTCAACTACAAGAGAATAGAATAATGATAAAAATGTTGTTAGCAATCATTGATATAAGTCTATACTTACGATATATATATGCCAGTCACTGAAAGATGACAACGACTTGAAATAAGTTCAATGAACACTGCCAGGAAACATTTACGTGGAAGAGAATATATGGTTGCTAGCTGACTAATGAAGCGATACACCGAAATCTTTTTGGGGGGATGACGATAAAGTGTTCCTAGTATACCTCTAGTTTAGTTATTTCAGCTTGTGGGACTAGTCTTCTTGAAATTGCATTTTATCTTCTTATATCATTCTATCAAAATCTGATCACACGGTCAATGTGAACGTCATCAATAAAACAATCACTGAGAATCAGTAACCTGACCTTATCTAGGAAGATAATAGCCCCAAATTACCTACAATTCGACATTTTTATTGGCGTGGTACAGAATATCATCATGCCCTTAAGCCTTTCGCGTTTCAATATTATTCATGTATTCTACCTACGGCCTCTTCTGTCTAAGACAGGTTAATATAGGCCCGGGTTCACATTATCTTGATGTCGCATAAAGTCAATTCGGTGCAATTATTCAAGAAGAGAAATTACGTGGTGTTCGCTGATTTCCAGCTATTTATAAGATGAAATAATTACCGGTGTTTCTAGACTCAGTTGTTAACAAAGACGAATATGTTTTTGATGCGGATCTACTTGAAGTAAAAAATGTCAGATACGTAATTTATATATATATTTTAAACTAAATGATTTGCGACATAAATCATGGTTGTATTCCCACCTTTTCGAAATTTAACGTTTTTTATGAAGGTTACCCGCGTCCGCGTAGACGTAATTCGTCGCCAATGGCGATAATGACGCAATCAAATACAAATACAAATTGCTCCCAATTACCAAACACGTTATACAAACAATATTAGACTGGAAGATAAATAATTTTTAATTTAATATATAAAATGTTGCTGACACTTTGTTATTGATACTTCCAATTTTTTTGTAAGTTTAAGTAGCGCCGTGCAGAATAAAATTTATTTTTATTTTATTTCTATATGGAATATTCCCTATTTTATTTACATCGATCTGGACCTAAAATGCTCAACGACGCGTCTCTTCCATAAAAATCAATGACCTTGTTATCAAATGTCATCAGTATTTTATATGGAAATGAAAAAATGTTAATTCACGAAATGTTTTTTTCTGGATTAAAAAATCAACATAAAACAGAGATATTCAAAATGATTCAAATTGATACGAATTTAACTGAATTCGATGAAGTTTCAGTTGAAAAATTATCATTCTAGGACTGACTGTATTCGAAATAGTAGAATATTCGAATTTGACCACCTCTGCTTTATAGAAACTACTATTTCCTTATTCATACGGTGTTAACGTCTAACAACCTGTTTATCATTTTTTTGCGCGTCTTACTGAAGTTATTAAATAAAGATAAATGTCTATTAACTCTAGAGTGAAATGTTATAATCCAATTCGTGAATTTTGATTTATGTGAAATTCTTGTGAATTCAAAATTTTCTCACGATCGATCAATTTTTAAAAATTGAACATATTTTTCGTTGCTTGTTTTTTTGTTATTTATATTTACCCATATACATTCATTTCAAAATCTATTGTATTACAATCATCGACATATGTCGCGGCACTTATACCCGAATATCAATATTTGACCACTTTTCCCAAAACAATCAGGGCACATCCTGATATCAGAATACGTAAACATTTACTCATTGGTTTTCACAAATCATTTTATTTTGCATGCCATTATCATCTCATATTTTTATTTTAGATTCTAGTGGAAAACAATCACAAAAAGGTCACGGAAAATCGGACTCGATATCATCAGCGTTAGGTTGGTGAATTTCACATCTATTTTACTCATTTTTTTTCCTTTTTTGTTTGTTTATTCCATACAACTATCACCAACACTTTTTACATTTATGCCGAGGCTTTCAATTTCTGGTTAAGAATAAAATTCTGTTACGTTAGCACAAGAGTTCCAGTCCGTATTCTATCGCTTACCCTTGGCAAATTTGAATAGTGAAATGTACCCCTTAAGTGTAAGATAATTATAAAAAGAAAAAGTAGCTTTAGACGCGTCGGTCATATCTCCATATCGTCAGGGTAGCAACGTAGGACGTTGCAATCATAACAATATTGCAATGCGGTATGTGGTCATTAACCACATTTACTTATATTCTTTCTTCGTATGGTACCCCAGATGTAGGTCTAATCAACCCCCACGGCATATTTACCCATTTAATACTAGTTGAAACCCCTGTGTCACCACGATTTGAAAACTCGTCAATATGATTTGCTATTATGTCGGTGTGTATATAAGTGTTGCAATCGCAAGATTACTAGAATGAAGAAAATTTACTAAGCACTAGAACTTCTGCTTGTGTATGATTGTACCGTATCCAAAAGTTATGTTCTCACCCGAATATGTTCCAACTGACAGGGGTTTTGTTTTTAGTATCACCCATCGTACGTTTAATGGGGTTGCGAATGTTGAGTTTTGAATACGAATTAATAGGCGGCGATGATGATTCATTCCATTTTGTATTTACATGGAATTTTATATTTAACAAGTATTAATAGATAATTATGTGTATCATAATGATTTGCCTAATTAAATGATAATAATATCGTATAAATATAGTAATGACACGATGAACAGACACGTCCAATTCATTTTTTTATCAAATTCACTTATCATTGCCAATTTATCGATCAAAAGTTGTTCACTGTGAAAATTTATCGTCGATCAAAAATGGGAAGATGATCGAAACAGGTCGTCAAATTGTTTTTATCGTTGGCCTATGTTGATGTTTTGTTTTAGACTTTCCTATATAACTTAAACACATAATGTGCTTTCATATTTAGATCAATTGGACAACGTTATTGCCATGGAGGATATGGACGGATCGGAGAGAACAGCTTCGTTAAGAAGGTTACCTGGTGGCAGAAGAATAGGTGGTGATCATCTTCAGGTGAGATTTCACGTAGAACCGTATTAAGTGGAGTATTTCGTTGATTTACAATTGAGTGGTAGTGAATTCGACACACTTTTCTGACTAATAGCTTATAAAATTTCAAGTCAAATTTGATTTTCGGGTCACACGGGACGTTACGAATACGCACAGTTCGCATTGTCGCTACGGAAGTTGTTTCAATTGTATTGTGTGGTTGCTTCATTGGCGACGATTGTGCAATTATTTCAGCTATGAACTCATTTCGGACATTTTAACTGCTTTAAAGAGGTCTGAATTTATCCATTGGCGACCCGTAGATTTAAGAATTGGCTCGTTGACTAGCGATCGTATAATGGCAAGTTTCACAAATTCGGACGGTTAAACCAACTGAATTGTCTTTGTCATGTAACAAAACAAATCCCACTCAATATTTCTGAAGACAATTTGCTTTAAAGCAAGGTTCGCGCCTTCTTTAATCAGACCTAGGTATAGGCGGACTCATTTTTTGAGTGAAGTAATGGGCACACCTACTAATTTCAAGATCCTATTTATAACCATATAGTTTTTGGTTAGCGCACGTTGGCCACCAAGGTCAAATATTGATTCGTAAGGATTTCGGACCGTATAAAGAGATGTGGCCCAGTAAATTCCATGCTAGCTTGCAAAAAATTAACATTTTTCTACGATCAGATCTGAATACCATGCTTCAACAGTCTTTAAGCAAAATCATTAATATTATCAAATCAATAGTCCAGCATTCTTTTCCATTTAATACACAATATCTGTCTCGTTTTGTGGGTATGCTTGCCAGCTTGCGATCAATACTTGCAAGTACTTTGAGTGACGTCAGTATAAATTTTGAATACTAGTTCGCTTCAAAGAACGAAATGTCTCGAATATGTCGACAAATAAACTCAATGTTTGATTCCTTCATTCTGTCATGCTTTTGACATTTGTGCTCGGTTTGGCTCAATGTATGTTCTCCTTTTTGGTAAATTTTTTTGTCTGGCTACAAATTGCCGCCCAGTGAGTAATAAATTTAGTAGGCCGTTCCGGAATGCGTTCCTTCGAAAATATAGGGTTTACATATCAGTTATTATAATTCTGACGCCGCGTGCTTGAAAATTGTGTTTTACTGTTAAATATTTACTACTTGAAAATACTTTGACAATATTTTGCAATTGCTATATTGATTTTTGAATTCCAATAAATTGGAATATGCTGTGATTTTGCTATCCAGTATAAAAAAAATTGAATTATTAAACATCGAATTATTATCGAAATATTTAATAATATCAATATCGATATATTTAAAATTATCATTTTGTTCCATTTTTCAGAATTTATTTTCACGGCCAAACGGAAGCGTAGATCCTATAGCTACATTACCAAGAGCCCCACAAACAAGTACATTTACTAGCGCAAAGAAACCTTTATGTGTTCCACCACCTTCGTTATCAAGCAGTAACACATTCCAGTATGGTAAGTACAATTGCGGATTAATATTATCCGTTATACCCAGTTCCCCTGTCCTATTAATTATACAGTGTGCATTGTACATTGTGGTTACTCTGTGGTCGTTACTGATTATTTACCAAGTCTACGTATCAACTTTTTTTTAATGTGAGCTCTGAATGAGGCATCACACAAGCTATCTGTTTTAAATGAAATTGTTTATCTTTCTTGGGGTCAATGATCACCATTTTGATCGATAAATTGAATCGTTCAAAAATCTTTTTCAGTACAACTATTACCCTATAGTCACTAGTGCGTTGTTCCCCCTAACCGAAATGTAGTATTTTCAACGATTTTGCTCCCATTTAGATAATACCGACAATCGTTATTCGTCGTCACATGAAGATACCCAAAGTGTTCGTAGTATGTCATCGTCCTCTTCTAATTCATCGACTTTCACAACATGGGGAAGATATTCGGGAACTGCAAACGCTCCACCGCCAGTCACTAACGGAAAAGAATTCAGATCTCATTCGGTCTCTGGAGCAACCGGGGAAAGACTCTTGAGTAAGTGAATGCTTTTTCATGCATTTTCAGGTACTCCTGTAGTATGCGAACCAAGATGGCGGACACCGGAATGTAGTATGTGTACCCGGTTAGGGTTAGGCCATGATTTTAGGTACAAATACTACGGGGGTCACTTGGATGCTCTCCGAACTCGTAATAGAACAAAAATATAGAAATTGGAATAAAATTATGGCATCATATTTTTATTTGTTCCCGGGTTAAATTCTTTGGACGCTCTTATCCGTGTGTTTTGGATTATGAAATTTTGAAGACGTTGAGTATTATCAATGCCGTGGTCTAACATCTCAGAAGTCAAATCCGACGTCTTTTTAAATTTCTTGCATTCATTTTTTAGTGCAAAGTGGCGCAAAATCAAAACGACTTCCTCCGCCGCCACCCAGACGTGTGGACAGTCGATTGTCTGTTTCAATACCAGAAGAAGAACCCGTCAGAAGTAAGTATTTGTTCATTTCAATTTGATCCAAAAATTATTGAACAATGTAAATTTCGATGCCAAATTCAAATAATAAATTTTAAATTTTTTAAATTGTGAAATGATTTACAGACACTCTAAATATCGAAACAGGTTTAGACTATTAATTATTTGTGTACTGTTGCATCGAGTTATTTTCGTACCTTTGTGGTTTATTTCGTTACTCATGATTCTATTATTATTTCAGGTCCGTCGCATTATACTTCGCCGCATAAAACAACGCAACACATGTGAGTAATCTTTTTAATTTTGTAATTTATTTAACTAAGTCAGTGTTTTTAAACGGTGAGCGTAGACAATTTTTTGAGGGGACGTGAAGATAATTAAAAATAAAAATATTTGTTAAATCGATCTTGGCCGCCTTATTTTGGATATATACATTTCTTAATTGTTTAGAGATTGCCATTCCATCCACGCATTTTCAACGTGTTTTTTGAATAAAACACACGTTCGCCTTACTATCTGTTATTTATAGCTCATTGTTAGCTAGTTATTTTTGAAGCGGGCTCGAGACTTGACAAATTCTGAAAAGAGGTGCGACTTAAAAAAGTTTGAGAACTAAGTGATCGTTGAATATTATATTCATAAACCTATCTTCCTATTTTCAAATTATTAATCTTAACTCATCTGTTTTTCTATTTTTGACTGATTTTTTTGCGTCGCAGGGTTAGTCATCAGCAAACAGATATGGCGTCTGCAATTGCATTGGCTGCAAGAAATAGAGCAGATAGGCTCAGCCAATCAGAAGAACAAAAACGAACCGAACCTGTAGCGACTACACCAAAAGCAGAGGTACATTTTGTATTTGAATTGTAATATTACTCCAATAATTTTTTATTGTGGAATTCTAAGTTTTATTACCATATGATTTCATACAAATAACTATCAATGGTCATGTAAAATCCTTTGCAATAATGTTCTGGAAATGTTTTGTTATGAAGTATACACACGTACTACCCTCTCTCGGGGACAGTTGTTTTTGCATTGGCATCCAAACCCTGTTGGACGATTGCTCATGTCACAAGTGGGGAATTAATTTTTCGTTTATTTTATCTTTAACTTTTTGTTTACATTTCAGGAAGCCGGTATTGAAGAAACACCAACCAAATCTGTCGCCGAAATTTCGTCCGCATTATCTATTGCTTTGGCAGCTAAAGAGAGAATGTTGAGCCAACAGAAATCTGGAAAGTCAAATGTCGATGTTAAAAAACCACAAAACACTTTTACAGTCAATCCAAACTCAACTCGATCGTCCGCCGTAAAAATAAACACCACAAAGCAGTTTTCAACAGGCAGGGCCCCGTCAAGTGGAAACACCCCAATTAATCGGCATGTGTTACCCCCGCCGCCTTCGAATTTACCCCCACCACCACCTCCGGATGATTTCGATGACGGTTTGGCGCTCCCACCACCACCATCATTCCCAGCTCCGGATCATCACACAAGATTTAATCACATGACATTTGATGAATTATTGGATCTTCCTCCACCACCTTCAGATCTCTTGCCAAGTCCGAATTCAAATAATCAAAGTCATATTTCACCTCCAGAAGGATACCGGAGAGAGGGTTAGTTATTTCTAACTGTGTTTGTACTATTTACCACTAACAACAACAATGGATTAACGACTGCACGAACGTCCCTGAATTTTGCGATTAAAGATTCGGTTGCGTGGCGTACAGGGTGACCCCTTACGTTCACTTTTGGTCCATTTTTTTATAGTCCATTTTTTTTCATTTGTAGAGGTAAAAGTATCTCCTAGCAAGCGATTGCTTTTATAATTTTTCAATTTTTTGGGGGGATTTCTGTCCTTGTACCACATTTAATCCTAATTAAAGGAAATGAGTCTATTTGTGGATTCCGACAATCATTTTCTGTGAGATATAATGATCAGCGGCTGATATAAACGTTACCGGTAAATCTTCGTGTCTAAAATCTTATGTATTGCTCTGTCGTGTCGTTGAGATAATTCTCTCATTTGTTTTTTAGAACAAAAAACGAAACCGAATTCTCTCGGATTTTTGCCTCCGCCTCCGATCCCACCACCGCACGAAGATGACGACGGTTGCACTTCGCCTAATGGAGCTGATAACTTGAGCAACGCAGACTCTGGAGTTGCCGATGTAGCGGGAGATGGACTCAACTTAAGTCACCATCACAGAAGTACGTTATCTGATCATAGCTGTGCTAACAAGCGCTGTACTGGTAGGACATTGCAGCTGCGACTAATTTCTTAAGTCAAAGTTACGATTGTCATTCAAGGCTAATACAAGCGACTAAAATGATGGTGCTATATAACTAGCACCTGAATTTAAAAAAAAGTTTGCTCAAAGGAAGGTCATATGCACCCAGTCAGAATTTAATTCTTGAATGAAGTTGCTGGCGACCAATGAGTGCCAAAATCTACCATCATGATTTATAGCAATGGATTAGGCTGTAGTAATTCCCGATTGACACAACATCTATGGAACATTCAATTCTGCAAAGTTCTTGGAAAAACATTCTTTGCGACTCCATGTATATATATATGGTCTGTAGTACTCTCCCTATAACTATATTGTAGAATATATATTCCCCAGAGCGCAATCGCTACTCAGTTGAAGCAACTGTATTCCAGTACCTCATCTTTTCAGGAATGGTTTTTTCGTTTAAACAATTATCAAAACGTCATATAACCGGTTTTGTCATCTAATCCAGTCCGTATATTTAATATAAATCTTCCCTATTCACAGATCATGTTAGTGGCGATAACCATTCAACAGTTTCCAGCGTTTCTACGACTTCTACCATGTCATCAGAAGACACTAATTCAGACTATTCGTCCGAACGTGCATGGCCATTGAGAGAAGTTCGAAACAGTTCGAACGAAGAAAGAAGCTCATCGCCCGCTGCTCCAGCTGGAAATATGTACCTTGACGTATTAAAGAAAGCCAAATCCAAGCAGACGACACAAGAAGAGAGCGTAAAATCACAGAATGAGGCCAAGAAAAATAATTTGCGTCCTGGAATCACGGTAACGAAAATGACATTTGCGCCTGTAACCGTGCTACCGCCCCCAGCGGAGAAGTCGAAAGAGGCGTCAAAATCAAGTAATGTCTTCCCGCCAGCTCCTAAAGAGTATACCACAAACGAAACGAAGCCGTTATTTGGCAAGGCACCGGCAGTTCAAACGCAAAAGGTGAATTTTATGTCGCCCGCAGCCAAGGCTCCAGAAAAGGCCACGCCTATCAAAACAACGCCAATTGTGGGTCCAGGAGCCGCCACAAAAACCACGATCAACCCTGCCAAAAGTGTGAACAACAACGAAAGCCCAGAAAAGAAGCCGACAGCGCCTGCTAGCGCACAGAAGCCGTTGGTTCAATGGACAGTGACGGATGTTTCAGATTGGTTGAAAGACCTCGGCCTTCAAATGTACATTTCATCGTTCGAAGAAAACGAAATAGCGGGCGAACATTTACCTGACTTAGGTAAAGACGAACTCATTGAACTTGGAGTCAAACCTTTCGGTCACAGACTTACTATTGATCGATCTATCAAGAAGTTAACCAGTTAAGTAAAGAAATCTGACTGTGCTGAAATTGTATATTTCGATTGATATTTTCAGAATATTAAGTGCCAATATCATAAATGCTCGCCTTCTACAACATAGTTGACTCAGAACTTAGTTTAGCATTGACTATTAATTTATATTTGCGGTTTAATTTTGTTTCAAAGTCTTTTCAGATTCAAGGTAAACACTTAGTTGACTTCGTTTTATAAGTTTTCGGTATATTTTGGAGCTCTTTACACAGTAAATAACAGTTTGAACTAGTACGGTTGTTTTATATTCAATAGTACAAAGTTTTTTTATTTATTTTCAATATTTCGTTACGTTAATTTGTCTAGATTTAATAAGAAAATACGTACTCGACTTTTGCTTTTTTCTTTTCATTAAATAAATTCGTTTTGATGCGCATCTGCCCTATTCAACGCGTTATGAAAAAACGAATTTTTTTTTTGTTCGTTTCGTCTTATTTTGAATCTTTTGCCGAATTATTGACGATTTGGGTTACCATAAAATGTTCCTTTTTGCGTGTATATACATATATATGTTTTTTTTTTCTTGAGAAATTTTCTACGTTTAAAATCTTACGCAGTATAATTGTCCTACACATCGCCACGACTCGTATTATAAATTTTTAGCAAAAAAATTCCAAGACCTTTTTTTCCCAAAGTGGCTGTATTGTTCGAAAAAAACGAAAACAGATTAAGAATTGTGAGTTTTTTTTTTGTTTTTTTTTTAAATTTCAATATATTTGTCCTACAAATCGCCACAACTTGTATTGTGAAATTTTTAGCAAAGTATTCCAAGTGTCTGCCATAGTGAAAATACGGAGATATATCACCTAAAAATGGCGAGTTAAAACGATTCCCGATATTTGATTTCGTATTTGCTTTCTCATCGCATCTCAAATATTACACACCAATGCTGCTTGTGTTTTGTTAATCACGCTAACATGTAACAAAGAAACGCCACGAGATTTTGCTTCTTTTTGTTTATTACCAAGTACACACCAACTCCGGTACACGATTGATTATTCTTCAGTCGACTGTGTTCACTTCTTACTATTTTTCCTTTTTTTTTTAATTTTTTTTTAACGTTCGTTGGCTTGGTTGACTATCATCCTTCTTAAGTTTATGGAGAAATATATAACAAAATTACATCCTTGAAATGAATTCATTATTTTGTCATTGTGAAAATACTCCATGTATTTTATTAGACTACTTTTGTGTTTAATCAAATCACAGAAACTAGTGTTGACCGTTATTACAACTAACTATCGAATTCACGTTAAGTTTCGGTTTATTTTCGTGTACATTTATGACGTGTTTTCATTTGGATGGAACCTCCCCGACAATCAGTATTACGCCATCCGTCCGTTTTTACTCATTAAAAAAGAGAATCTACTACTTTTTAGTATTTCCACTACTTGAGTGTTTTTCACACAACTTATGACCGTTGGGCACCCGCTTAAGTTTCATCAATGTTGCATCGTACTATAAGCATGGTCAGAAGCCCTTTTGATCGGTTATTCGCAATGATTTGACGAAGGAAGGGCTTTATGCTTTTATATTATAATTTTCTTCTTTCTATTGCTCTCTCTAGCCAGGGTCAAAAACTACGGTAAAGTTGTTTCGAATTCATCCCCATATCTCGGGGTAATTCTGAAATATTTTTACTCGTACTGGCCGACTCTTTTTCATTTTGGTTTTGTTCGTCATTATTATTGTTTTTCTTGTTGATTTTTGTTATTTTTTTGTTTTCCATACATTTATTAGTTATCATGATGTCCTCTTGGTAAGACGATGACAAAATATACAACGGTTGCAAAAACGTCTTCGAATTCGATAGGTTAGTTTTAAATTATAGGAGGTGATGTGTTAACTATGTTCCTGAATCTATCAAGTTTTATAACTTCATAACGGCTGAACCGCTGCTTCTAGGTCTGCATGTTGCCTTGCCCACAGTTTGGTTGTAATGGATGTTTCCCCAAGTATGTTGGAAACGGATTGTGGGTGTTGTAGCTTTGTGGAGGTTATTGTGAAAAATCGCTTCGCAAGGGCACTGAGTGATTGTTTGGAAAAATCGGTTTATAGTGTATACAGCTTTGTGGAGGCTGTTGTGAAAAATCGTTTTGCAAGGGCTCGGAGTGATTGTTGCGAAAAAAAAAACGATTTTCAGTGGTTACAGCTTTGGTGAAGATTGTTGTAGAAAATCGCTTTACCAAGGGTTCGGGGTTTTTGTTTAAAAAAAAAACGATTTTCTTCGCAAATAATTGACCCATCGATTTCCAATTTTTAGTACTTGGATAAAATAAGTAGTCAGAGGGCGCCAGTTATTTTTCTGAAATTCTCTTTTTTGCACACTATAATATGGGGCTCACTATGACACCTCAAGACTTCCCTAATTTTGCGTATGTTGCCACCACGTGGCGCTCCGTCATGCTAGGCTGGCATCTTTTCTGCAAAGTTTCGGTGGAGATTTCACAGGATACTGTCGTAACGTGAGCCATATGACGTTTGTTTGTATTTAAAGCTCGTCTATTCCAATGACAATTGAGTCGATCATAGTTATATATTTTAATTTAGTAGCTTCGGATGGATTTTTATTTTAGTTATTAAAAACCGCCAGGATAGGCTGAGTTCGAATTCAAAATCTGTCGGCACAGGTACTATTGAGAACAGTAAGGACCAGTGCTTTGCTATTCTGAATCAAGGCAGTGAGTGATTCTGAACAAGCCGACTAGCAAAAAATCTGTTGGTGCGATACATATGCGCACGGAATGCTCAAGCAAAGATGATGCTTACTGGCTTAATATAGACTCCAACGGTACGAAATACTGTCATCACCATGTTTTCTTGCACTGTACATGCACACCAGTAGGAAGGTTAAGAACTTAAGAACCCAAAGCATACTACCTGTAGAAAATAAGAGCAATCTGCTATTATATAGCATAGGCCAACATTTCGTTGATATGCTACTGGCTAAATGAATGAACGAATGAAAAACCTTTCCGTGATTTTATGTTATTGAAGATCGTGCAAAAGTGAAAAAAAAAAACTTGCAACATTATATCAAGCTGCAAAAGTCGTTATTTGGAGGGGTTTATAATCATAGCGGTCGCTTGTCCTTTATGGCTTTTTTACATGTGTCAGAAGCTTAATTTTGGGACCGATTCATTTGACAACATGTGATGCGATAACACATATATATAATATAAATATATATATACCTTCTTTCTTCTAAAGTAAACTCATAAGTGGTATATATATATATATATATATAGAAAATAGTTGTGACAAAGCAATTCTCACTATATATAAACTTTCCACTAGAGGTGTAACTAAAAGCATATAGCGTACATATATATATGTATACATACAAAGCTGAACAAAAAGCATCAATTCGAGACAATACAGTGTTATTTATATTTGTAAGATATCCCATGAAGTACTAGCCATAGTCGCGCTGTAACGCCTTCTCGTTTTTCTGGACATTCTGCTCTTACAGTTTTTGTGATTGTTGCTGGGATCAACTTATCACGCTTGTTCACTCTAGTACCGATTTGGCCTCTTCTCCATTTTCCTTGACAAGGTTCTCGCACTCCTCTTTTTGTGATTCATCCGGTAATTCCATTTTTCCATTGGTCAATGGCTCCTGCTCAAAATGGTCGATATTATCGTGTTTTACTTCGATGATTCTATCTGAATCAGGCCGTGATCGAACTTTGCTGCTGTTGGTGAAGTCCAAATTTGTCTTTAGTCGGAATTTTCGTCGAAGCAGTACAAATGGGGATATCAGTCCACAGTTTAGTCCTAGTGCAACGAGGCAACATATTGCATATGTGTAATCGGAGAAGCTGTTCGGAACGACAGCTTTCAGAAAAAACAAAGACACGATAAAAAGCCAGGTTAAAACTTCAATTACGACAAATGTAGAAAACGTGTCATTTAGTATTCTAGATGGCTTCTTATCGACGTGTTTGTGTTTAGAAAGACAGGAAAACTTACACGAGGCCTTGCCGTATCTTGTGGTCATTGCTGTCGTGGCGAGAATTAGTATCAAATCGATAACAACAATAGCCAGCGATATACCCCACGACCAAGAGTTAGAAACAGCCATGTCAAAGGGTGCGTCTCCACCATTTACATGTACTAAAAAACTTGGCAAACAGGCACCACTTTGTCCGAAAAATCCGTAAGAACCTCGACTGTGTATGCTAAGCGAAGGGGCAGAAGCATCTACGATATGTGCAAATTCAGAAAATGTAAAGCGGGATGACAGTTGAAGATCTTCTGTGCTTCGGTTTCTTATGGTGACAACAAAACTGGCGAATTTTTCGGCTTCTTCACGTCCTAACAGGTTTGCTCGGAAAAGGGACGGTGCTGCGTCTGCTCGCACCCAAGCGTAGGTCCGGGTTCGCGCATTTAACGCTGAAGGGAATGTTAAAAGTCCGGCGAGGACAAGTGTCGGAAGCCATATTAAAACTATAAGTACAATGCAACTCAGAGCAGTTATGAGTTTTACACAAATGCGACCATTAGTGGTAAGATCACTTCCTCGACTAAACGTGATATCATTGACGCCATTCGAGTGTCCATTTTCCACACGACTCGACCCTTTTCTTCGTCCTGTTTTGAAATTGCAAGCATAAAATAGAAGATAAGCTGATCCGAAGAAAGCCAAAGTCAAAATCGGAATTTGGGTTCCAATCAGAACAATTGCGCCTGCGACGCTGCAAGAAGTACTGGAACGCCATTTAAGATCCACAGTACTGTAATTTGCATCCTCAGCTCGGGTAATTTTGATATAAGCGAAGTATCCACAAATCAGACCTTTGGCAATTGTCATATTCAAGTTTACGACGACTTCTCTTAAACATATCATGGAATTGTATGTCCAGATGCCTCGATCTTTGACGCCAGAGTCGCTGAATCGCATCCACGCCACAGTCAGATTATAAAACGCCAACACAAAGGAAACAGCGAGGGCACTGACGCCTATGAAAGCTGCAGCGATCAGAAATACCTGGAAAACGCAGTGATATTATTAGCAAATAAACTAAACTAATAAATACTGGATGGGTTTAGTGAAATAAATACACCATTTCACTCGCAATAACTCATGCTACCTCGGAGCTTGTTTAAAGCAGAAGCCCATACATGCAGAGATAATTGGCCGCTTGGAATGTTTATGTCATCCCCCGGGTTCGATGGACCCCGGTTGGAAATAACTCTCATTCTGACCTTGCGAATGGGTTGGTAAAAAACTTACTTGCTATTCAAGATGTAACAGTAGGTGAAGTTACGGGTTAAAATAGTTGAGTGTCGTTATTAGTCACAAGTAACCAACCTGTAATGGCAGGTTGTCAATCGCTCTATCGTGACTTGAAATTCCATGTTGATATTCTCTCGAATCCTCATCAATTCCTTCATAAAACTTATTTATCATGTCGGGTATTCTACTTAAAAATGGAGGGCATTCGTCTGCAGCGTTGGGACAATTCAGTTTCCCATCCAAAAGATAATTTTTATGAACATATTTAACTTCTCGATTTTCGCTCATCCCGCAGGATAACATTGGGTTTTCATTAGAGCTCCCGGATTTATAACATTTTGTCGGATCCTCATCAGCTCCGTTAAAGCAATGTGAAAAGCCGTCACATGTTTGAGATTCATCATACGTATCCGTTTTGGCGTCAGTTTCGTTCAAATCTGCAAATATACAATACACGGTGTTACTATAGCGCGTGATCTACCACCCTTTAGCGTGAGTGAATCTACCACAAGAGCGAGGTCTACCGCTGCATTTTTCAATTCTCAACCCAAGCACAGACTCTAATTTCTTCCTATGTTTCAATTTCATTTTTCTGCACAAGAGAATCACATGTATGTCATGGATCTGCATTGGACATGAGACTGCAAAGATATGGTGGTAGACCTCATACTATTGTCGGCTATTGATGCCCATGCGGTTTTATATGGTGTTCACTCTGACTTATTGTTGGAGACAATCAATCATTCTGAAGCCCAACTTTTTGGAAAATACCACAAATATTCGGAAATACCGGATATTCCCATACGCAAAACTTCGTTTAATTAACCCTACTGATAATTACGTGAATATGCCAACTGCAACTCATATATTCACGATGGTTCCATTAAATTTGTGAATGATTCTTACCAACTTGGCATTTAAATCTTTTGGGACAGAATGCTTCGTCAGAACCATCAGCGCATTCCACCACACCGTTGCAAATTGAGATTCTACGCTCATCGAACATCTGAAATATAAAATACATAACAACTTCATCAGCCAGAACCAAATCGGTGATGCAGGTAATCAATAAACTAGATATATATTATAAATTTTCGGTTCTGCGCGACAGCCAGTCAAACTGCTCCATATATAAATTCCCTCGAGAAAAAGATTTTACTCACTCTTACTAACGATTCCAAATCACCGACGTATTACTGCGCTACTTTTAAAACCACGACAAGACTTGAAAAACTAATATAATACCCAAAAAATATTATTTTTAATACCCAAAGGCTCATTTAAATGGGGGCCATAGTTTCATTTTGATATCTCTGACCTGGAATTTCTGCCATTGCCATTTTGCGCAATTTGTAGCATAGTTGTAGTATAAATATGTCAAATATTATGAAAACGTAATATCACTATATACAATATACACAAAAATATATTATTCTTACCGCATCTATCTGACTTTTATTTCCCTTCCTTGTACGATCCGGATTCAAAAATGATAAGCAAGCAAATCCCGTAACATCAGTGGATAGTAGACGACAAAATTCAGGATCAGAAGAATCATTGTTCATATCGCCTGATCCAATTGACCATTCTTTATTACCCTCGCCTCCACAATCTATTCCGCATTCATCTTCGCCGAATAAACATTCTGGGCGGCCATCGCATTTCCTTGCCCTCACCATTCCCGTGAGAGATTGGTCGAAACATTCGATAATATCAGAAGATCCTTGTGCCTGAAATAGCAGAATTAAGGACAGTGGTGTGACATAATGCTACGTATTTTTAGAAGGTGGGGCGTAGTTAATACCTCGGATGATATGAGGATGAATAAGAGTTTCAATTCTGATAGCAATATAGTGTAATACAAATTAATGAGAGATTGTGATAAAAAAAAGTTCAGAATCCATAAAAGTTTTGATAAAAAACACAAAGGCGCTCAATAGAAAGGCTCTATTCAAAGCAATATGAGGTTGCTGTTCGTATACCTTGACCGGAGAGATCAGAGAACCCACGTCGCTCGATTTGTTCTTCGTGATTTCAATCATTTCAACAGGAGAGAAACAAGATTTCTAAAAAATTAGGCAAAAACTTTAATAAAAGATCCAGAACTTTCTAACTATTCATTAGTCCTGTTAATTGGGAAAAGAAGTAAAAAAGGAACTACAGTACGCAGAATAGTCATTCCAAATACCCAATACTCATTTATTTCTGTCACGAAGGACAGTTTCCCATTATATGCATGGCTTGGCATTTGCTAAATACAAAACAGATCGATACTCTCGTCGCCATCAAAGATGCCAAGAACTTATTATTATATTGATAATGTACTAATTATATAAGTCAAGCTACCCGTAGCTATAATCTGACAAAGATATTCATTGAAATATTAAATGTACTGTACGTTATATTCCATTTTAAATTGTATTCTTTTCATCCGTAAGCCATTTGCCAATGTATTTATATGAAATATTAGGATAATTTACATTTATCTTCCGAATTTTTTTTTTTCACATTCTGAATACTTTTATATTCCATCAGCACATAAATTACAACATAATTCTATATTGGTTTTATTCTGGTCTATTCAGATCCTATAATACGATATTATAATAATTTATACTACATCCCATCAACACTAATAGAAAATATGGCTTTGCGCCGAGTAGAAAATAATGCCTGGAACTAAGTACACTAAGTAATATTTTGAGATCTATTTTCAGAATGTTTATTTAAGCTGGGTGGATACTCAACAGACTTTTGTTCATATTCAGGACGACTTATTGAAAAATAAATATCCTAAACAACAAGATTTGGACACAAGTCTAAATTTATATTTAAATCCGAATATTTATTTTAATCCCACATTTGCTTCAAATATTGCTCGCAAAATAACTTATTGTTGTATGTACGGCTATTATATATAGTATATTTGATGTGCGTTTGAAAAATAATCAGAGGAAGGCAAACAATAAACAGGGGTATTATTGCAGTTTATCGTGAAACACATTTCACCTGGGGTTACTACCAGTCGTGGTCACTATATATATATATTCGTACTTACTTCCGGTAAATATCCTTCATAATATATGTCTCCTTCGGCGCAAAACTTGCAATTTTCGTTGATCAGTTGATCCATCCATATTTGTTTTGTACACATTCCTCCACATATTTTCCTAACACTTTCAGACTTTTGTATTTCACACAGACATTCATCTGATAAATCTGGGCAATCGAGTACACCGTCGCAAACCTACATGATATCGGATATTTATTCGAAAAATGTCACCAAAAATTCAAATATGACCTGCACAAATGGAAAAAGCATCTTGCACAGTACTATTTAACAACAACAATGCATTGTAATGATAACAATACTCAAAGTTGATGACCAAAGTTACCAAGTTTTTTGTTGTTGTTCTATGTCCAGCTAATCCAAAACAGGGTATTCAGACATGAGATATAAGTCCATCCGGCCAGAATAATTTAGCTTTTCTGTCGTTGGAATCACAGCGAAGAATATGATTTTATGCATGATTGAATTTGTTTAAATATATTATTCCATGAAATTATGTACATGTCACTAATGTCAATGGTATCGCTAAAACTTTTATCTATATTATATATGTGTAAATGCAGACCAATTGATGTTTGTGTTATTGACCATCAAACGTTTTTGATCAAAATATCTCGACCTCAAATGTTTTTTGCAAAAACTGCTATCGGAAAGATTATTTTCGAGTATGTACATATATATATATATATATATGAATTTTCATACAACAAACGAATTAAATGTAACCCTTGTCCAAATCTTCTAAAATACCATGACGTGTTTGCATATAATATCGATCGCCATGTGAGAGGGGATCTCAAAAATATACTGCAGAAAATGGGTAGTATGTAATGTACAAAAAGAATCAGTTGACTGTATGCACTTCAATTTTTATCAGCAGCAGCTGATGCATAGCAAAAAATTACTCAAAAAGGGAGCTAAAACACCACAGAGATATCAAAAATTGTTGAACAATCTTGAACCATTGAGGAAAGTAGGGATAAATACGAACATACATGGGTAGGAAAAAGAGGACATACACCGAAAAGCAAGCAAAATACACATATTTATCACTTTGCAACTTTTTTATTTGTTTGCATTGCATTCCTGCTAAGCCCAAAAGTTCAATTCCCACAAGGATTTATTTGCATGCGGTTGTTATCGTGTATCGCCTCCTGTCAGGCGTTGGAGCATCTGTGTATAATAAATCTGTAACCACATGGGAACATACAAGTACAATCTTTTGATAATTAAGATGCATGCTGCCAAATAGATTACGTTCTAACACATATAAATAGACTTATTCAGCCTGCATACGATTCAAGCAAATATTAGTATTATAACTTTAGATATACGGAAGGCTACTTAAAAATATTTACCTGTTTCTGAGATATCATCAATTTGCTGTTCAAACATAGAAATAGTCCACGCGAAATGCCAGAAAATCTTAATCAAAAATAATTGTTGTCATGAAAATTTATTTCGCAGTTACCGCATTAAACAAACTCTTTTGATTTGTCGTGCCAATGCTGTCTGTACCCCATTGGGACATCAATGTTTGTGTTGAATGAGAGAAGCAAGCGAAAAGCTAAAAGCTTGAAGACTAAAATCTATGACTCTAAACCCCTATTCGCGACAGAGCTGAAATCAAGAATCACAGGGGGATCGCGCCAAATTTTAAAATTCGAGTCACTAGTAAAGTTGAGTCGCTGTCTGTTTTGAGTCAAAAGGTTGAGTCCACGACATGGGGTGCTCCTGAAGTATGCGCACCAAGATAGCGGACACCGGAACGTAGTATGTGTACCAGGTTAGGGTTAGGCCATAATTTTATTTCAATTTTCTATATTTTAGTTTTATTATGAGTTCGGGGACTAGCCAAGTGTTTCCCGTAGTATTTGTACCTAAAATAATGGCCTAGCCCTAACCTGGTACACATACTACGTTCCGGTGTCCGCCATCTTTGTACACATACTTTTGGAGTACCCGACATGGTACATTTCATACAACATTGAAATAAGTATTGAGAATGATTTAAATCTGAATATCTACCTCGCTATGGTTGTAGTTGTATTGTCAGTTGAATTGATATTACCCGGCATTGGAAATTTACTTTTCATTGTCGGGGTTGCAAATGCATTTTTACAAAGATCAGATCGATCTTCACAGTGTGCAACTTCATCACAAACAAAATTTTGTGGAAGAACGCAAGTTCTAAATCGATTCTTGACCATACATTTGAATCCGGATCCGGATTGTAACTCGTCGACTCCGGATAGACAATCCGATGACCCGTCACAAAAGTATTTCATGTCGATGCACTTCGGATCATCATCAGTGAACTGCCTTGAACTTTCTTCTGAAAAATATTTCACATATAATTAAAAGATTATATATATTTTGTCATCTACAGAATGCAATACTCGTGCAATAATCTTAGTATTCATTTGAATAATTAGTGTTGCCTGTAAAATAGACAAGAGTTAGGTTGTATTTCACGTTCCTCGCAATTTGAGGTTTAAAAATACTTTTTTTTAAACGAGATAATGAATGTGTCATTAGACTCATTACTGTGGTATCGTGAGTCCTGAATCGTATAATTCCTGAATTTTCATCACAGCGAATTCCATAGCGAATTTGATATTTACAAATCAAATTGAATCGTCACAAATTTGTTAATGGTTAAAACACACACACATATATATATATATATGAAATAACGTCACCGTAACGTGGATCATCTTCCACAAAACGTTAGCTCATTTCAACGATTCCTATTATCTCAACCATAACTGGGTTAATTTTAGACCTATTTTTTCCCATTTAGATGAGTCCAAGTATGAGTATGTTCTGAGTGACGCTCTCTAATAATAGGCGATGACAATATTAGAAGAGTTCATTACTGACTGAAATAGATAAATTCCTGTCGATGGGACTGTTAAATTATTTTCACCATTTATGGTAAAATAAACATTTCTCGGCAATTTTTAACGACGATGAGTTATATTAGATCAAGCGAAAAAGCAGTGTGTTTTTCTATGGCCCATATTAAAAGGGTGCAGAAAGTCAAAATGACTCATTACACGGTCAATAAATTTTCCATCGGCTCTAGAGCTTGATTTGACGACGTCACTGATTTCCTAAACGTTAACGAGTAATTCAACACCAGTGAAATTTGTTCTTTCCATTATTTTAAGAGTTATCTGTGGTTTTACGTTGTTTTAAAAGATACGTATGTTTCAAGTACGACCAATACTCGCGGAGAACAATATGACGTCATCCCTTAGTGCCTCTGAATGCCTACTGACAAATGAAAATACGCATTTAGATGTAAATTAGCTAGCTATTTACATTTTAATGCAGTACTTGATCATATAAACATGCGATACAGTCTAGGATTCCTTCAACAAAAACGTTATTACTTTAATTGACGCGTCATACTAGGTAATACGGGTGACCAAAAAAAACGGAACCCAAAGCCTGGGTTCCGTTTTTTCAGGTCACCTCATACTTCTTATTCCGATATGTTCCGATAAGACGCGCACTATTCCAGCCTAATAAACCTAAAAGAAGCGTATCAAACGGCAATTATTCGCATTATATCGTCATCCCGAATTGCCTATTCTTCTTTTCTGTTACGTCACTTCTATATTGTACTGGAAGGTATCACCACAGTTCAACAGCTTCATAAACTTAATAAAATTTTAATGCAAGCTTTGTCATAAATTACTTTATTTTCATTTTTCGACACTTGGAACTCAGGCTATGATAAAAGGTATTGGCGGTTCACGCGCCATTTGCCAAAATGCTGAAACGCGCTTTGAATAGAATAGAAATTTTTTTTGAATGAATCCATTTTCGTACGTTTGCATATACACCTAATTGCAAAAACGTTGCAGCATAGTTCTTGTATTTTTCAGTTTCAAGACATAAATAATTCAGTCCCGGCATTTCGAACAGAACTGGTTGTTCGTCCGTTGGGATATTTTGTCGAATCTTGGCAAAGTGCTTCAAGTTTGATTTATGTGTCCCCCGTGACCACGTGTTATATTTATAGTTCTTATTTTACGCTAAGAAAATTCAATTACAAAAATAATAAGATTTGTTAGAGAAATACTGAAATGTACAATTATTGAAACGAATACGACTTATCAAAGAATGTTTTATTGTTTTGAGTGCTTTTAGATGTAATTTGATCAAAATAGTTCGGCATATATTGATTATTGACATAGTAAATTCGAATTATCAGTATACTAAAAAATGGGTGTTTCTTTATATATTATATATCTAAATAATTTCATTCATATGACTATATTATGCGGGTTGTCCATAGTAATGTTGCAAGCCCTCACTTATAAACGACGAAGCGCATACTAGGTAGCTACCAAAAATGCTAGGAGATGCATTTTGTCTTGTATTCTACAGAGAATTGGAATCTAGAAATACGTTATACGAAACGCAGTTAGAAACTCTGAAGGATTGCCATATGCAATGATTCATTATTAATCAGGATTAATCTTAACATACAAGTATCTGTTACTTATTACCGGTACTTCAAATCGTTGTGATTTTAAGTTAAGTTAATAATCAATTAGTCACCGCTTACCTTTATCGTAACAGTAGAAGATGTTTTCCCTCACATTTGTACAATTTTCTTCGTCTGAACAATCGAAGCAATCTCGCAGTCCATTGCAGACTTTCTTGTTTGATAATCTTGTCCCATCTCCACAAATAAATCCATCGAATCCTTCCCACTCTTTGCCATCTAACTTTGTAGAATCGTAGTATTCTCCATAATCACCACCTTTGTCTTGTTGTTTGGGCTCTGCATCTATGAATGTTAAAATTTGATTTATGAGTGATGGCAGTTACAAACATTGTTCAAACATATTAGACTTTTGATCCTTTATTCTATTCTCTATTCTCTTCCTCTATTCCAAAATTAGTATATAACTTGAAATGTTACCTTCATAATCATCGTAGACATAACTCAGATCTTCATTTCCTTCTGAATAAAATCCATCTTCGTCATCTGTGGGAGATTCCGAATCCGGATTTTCTGCGCTTCCTTCATCCGTATCCGGAAGAGACTCACTCCACTTCTGGTTATTTTCTACTAGAAAAATTCAATTATATTTGTTATAAAAAGAAAAATATATTTTTGGAAAATAAACACTTCATGCTCTTAAGCGTAGTATAAAAACTAAACATATTTATATACAGGTTGAAGGTTGTGTGACAAGAAATGTTTAAAATCTAATTTGTGATTGATATTTTCGATTAGTATCATGTCAATAAACAATTAACACACAGCGATTGCAACAAATTCCCAGTGGATATTATTTGAAATGCGACTATAAAAGTCAATGAATAAATTATAAGCAGCGAACCAATTCAGGAATAACAAGTTAAAAATATTGAGTTTATTATATTAAATAAAATTGCCAATAAGGCAGCTATTAAAAATAAAATCTTCAACTATCATGATGATAATAACTTTACTATACATATGTATCTGTGTGCTGGAGCGGAAACATTAGTTTTTATGTAAACTATCTATTTCATGCAAGATTTTTAAGTAATAAAGGTTCATACCTGGAGGAGATGATGTTGATAAATGCAAAAGTTGAAAAGTAAATAAACAGATAATAAATAATTTCATTCGTAAATAAGACATGTTCTATGATAATATAACTAAATGCATAAATACATGTTAGTTATTTTCCGAATAGATCTAATAATATCCAATGTTCTTTGAAGGTGAAGTCCTAATAGAAACCCACTAGAAACATTAAAATTGTACTCATTGAATGGGCGATGAGTACAAATATCTAGATGATAAAACGTGTGCTCATATGCTTATATAAAGTTTGACTAAGGCAACAAAGTAAAACACCGCATATTAAGTATTTCGCACTTTTCCGACTGAATATGCTTATCATGTGACCTATTCTTCCTTTCACTTATAAGTTATAATCTATCCCATCGTTGTCAAAATGGGTTCAAATGTTATATATATATTTGCATATAGCATACAATGAATGCCATTCTCCAACGACAAACCTATGTAATATACCCGATGTACCACGATGCTGAAAACTTCTGAATGTACGAAATCAATTTTCTGCCTGCGAGATAAAAATCTTGACGAACACAAGTACCCAAAGAGATATATATTAGCATCCGCCAAAACAAAAACCACACTTTTAAATTCTTCTATTTCTAGGTAGTAAAATAACAAGACAAACCTTTGTTCGAAAACAGCCAAAACTAAATCTCGTTTCTAAGCTGAGAACCGCTTGCCGACACAACATAATTAATTACACGATCATCAACATTGTCATCCATTCAATCAATTTATCTACCACTAATTGCAATCGAAATCAACCATGCCGATTTAATTGTCATCACACAATTCTCTTTGCGCAAAAGAAACCAAAATACGTTACTATAAGATGAGGGCACTAACACAATTTACTCGAATTTACTCGGTATCATTCGAAATACAGTGTGCTTGTTTTGGGTGGTAACTGACGCAGATGACTGTGAATGGTCGTGTCGTTACCACCCAGTCTTCTACCGAAAACTCAAATTTCTCATTTTGCTATCATATATATGTTGTGTTTTCGAAAAAAAAAAATTCTCTCTCTCGTAGTATAACTGTGAAATAATTATTTTAATAGTTAACCAAACATCCATTCGTTACGTCATCATTGGATGCTTGTGCCTAGCCTTGTTTAGAGCGAATGTGTGAGAACGTCTCACAAAATATACTAATGAGATTCATGAAATATACACCTGTTCTGCTTTCTTCAATATATACCGATTCCGTAAACTAATTTTTTTCAATCTCAAGATACTATTCTCTCTTTCATATCGATTTATGTCAAATGCTCTTATCCGTTGTTTCAATATCCTAATTTCTCTAAGAATTTCGATGGTTGCTGAACACTTTGAAGGTCCATCGGGGCGAAAAGCGGTAAGCCATATAGAACTCAACAGCCGAAAAAAAGATACCGACGGGAGAAGATTGATTTTTTTGCTCCGTTTCTTGCATAAATAATTGATTTCAGTCCAATTATCTTATTACAACTTTTTGCGAAGCACAACGGTTTTAAAATGGTCCCAATGTGGATATTATGTGCTGCCCAAATGTGGCTGATATCTTGTCTACTTCCGTATGTGATATTTCAAGTTAAAATATCTCGCTCTGTGTGTATTGATGCGAAAGTGACAAGTTAAAACCCTTGGAGAATAATGTAAGTTCGCTTATGTAATTTTTTGAAGCCGTTGTTGACAAACTCCGGCAAAATGACTTGCATTGGACTGTAACTAGGAAAATGCCTTAGACAAGTCACTGTAAATAATCATCAAGGCATGTTAAAGCCTAGAAGTTAAATACATGTGTGCCCAAGTATAGAATATAGCTCCGATAACCCGTACAAAAATGCATGGATATCGACCTATTTATGTTTCGGGGCAACCAACATATTTAGAGCAAGATAGGAAAATGAAATATCAAGGTGTTGTGTTTTCGGTCATTGGCTACCAAATATGAACATTGGGTAAAACATAAAGTTACAAATTGAGACTAAGGTAATATGCGTTTCCCGCATTTTGTAAAAGTTTATCATAAATATAAAAGTGACGAGTTTGACATCTTGCTACTCGGTTGGCATTCAGATCTACGACATTTTTCTTAATTAAGAAAAATGGGTACGTCACCTGTCGTAGACTAAATATTTTTCCATTTCGATTTGCAGTCAACATGCTGAATTATTGAGTTGTAGGTAAATGGGTTCGAGTTTATTTTAAAGATATTTGATAACGATTTTGTTAAATCGTGTACAATTTACTGTGACTAGAAAAGAAACTACAGAATTGTTTAAGAAAAATTGTTTGCTTCTTACATGAACTACTGGATTTAATTATTTAAAAAAAAAACGGAGTGAAATATCTCAATTAATTTTGATCCAAAATAAAAACCACAGATAAAACTTTTGTACTATCAATATCTCCTATTCTATTAAAAGAACGAGCAAGTGTCGGGAAATCTATTAAAACGGATAACTCGCGCTTTTTTGGCCATGGTAAATTTATTTGGATTTACCTGAACACAAAATTCCTGGGTCGTGGAAGAGTCCCACGCAAGTGTTCACATCATAAACGATCGTGCGACTCTTACTTGAAGTCAAATACGGAAATTTTTTATTATTACAATCACATTTTGGAATCCCGGGCTACGCTATGCCTATGGTACATGTGTTAATGAGTGAATAGTTACTCTGTACAGAGAGACATGGTAAAATCCCACTTTTCAACTGTTCTTTTTATGCAAAAAGGTTTGTGTATGATAAATATCTCATCTATCGTTCTGCATTACAAAAAAGGCCCTCGATATGCATCGTATTGTATATATCTTTCAAGTTTCGTGCGACTTATCACCACCATGAAGACATTAGCGAATAGACTCTTTCAAGGCAATTATATACCGATGCATATTTCATTGCTCACGCCACTTTTGTGTGAGATCTTGGCGTGATCGATCACCTTTTGAACGACCTGCAGGTTATTCTATATGACCCACGGGAGTTCACTTGTCACTTCCCAAGAATATGAATATATATATTTATAAAAGAATAAAAACATGATTGTTAGGGGCTTACTGTATTTGTACTGAATACTGTGATTGATAAAGTCGAATAAAATTATATTTCATTTTACTGCCAGTTTTGTCACAAAGACACGATTACAGTAAAAAAAACGAACGGATTTAACGAATTTTTCATCACAAATAGACATGAAGCATATTCCAGAGAAATTCAAACTGATGACAAAACACTTCATTCTACTCTAGCCTAGAAATTGTACAGATATCCGATATATTTCATATATAAACTAGCAATTTTTTATGAAGTTTTATCCCATTAATAAGACATTAGTACCTGCAATTTTATTGCATGTAACCTAACCTAACTATATAAACGCTTCATACCAGCTTTGCTTTACTATGTTTTTATGGTCATTACCGAATTTAGTATCAGAGAATAAATTAACACAATTAATCTAATTTCAATGTCGAATAAGATCCCTGCAATTATTGTTCTATCAAAATTCAACACGTTAGTGTATAAAAACTTTAGCGTGAACTAATTCTCTGTCACCAGTAAACTATAGAACGGGAAACTGGTGCCTATCTGACCTTACAACCTGATGCACCGTCATTCTGAACACAAAAATTTTTGCATGAGTTGTTCTATTCCTGAGTAGTATTTGACAGTGTCACAAGCCAATGCAAAATCTATGTCAACTATTCTGGCATCATAACCAATTCAAATTTCATCTTCTTCCGTTTACGATATTTGATGTCAGTACGTTGTATGTCACCATCAGCAATGACTTCTCGTGCATTGTCCATTCTATGAAACGTGTGTACACTATTCAATACCCTTTATCAAAAATGGCGCTCAAAGTTCGTATTCACTATTTTATCCACTTTTGCACTCACTCAAGCAAGTTCCTCAAGCTCAAATCGTATATAACTTTATTGATGGGGACAGAGGTACAATGTAAAGCGAAAATACAGAAATAAAATCTGAACATTGTGTACATCCGTGGTTTCAATATCAGAGCCGCTGTGATAACATCGTGCAAGACATTAAACTCCTACACTTCCACGAGCCATTTTACGTCATCACATGTTAGACAACCGCAGAACCAAACCGTTTTTCATTAAATGCTGTAATGCTGGCGGTGAATTGAAAGGTTTTCCTTAGCGATACGCCAGTTATGTATCCGACGCTAGTCATTAAATTTTCGTAGTACCGTTGTAGCGTGGGTGATTACATGATTCAAAACATGTATTGATGTAGAAGCCTCCAAAATTAATCGGCTGAAGCGCACTTCAGTCTTAAGTTTTCATGAGCAAATCGTGTGCCACCCACCTATTTCTGAATTTCTAAAAGTATCTAAAATTTCATAAACCATACTCTCATCGAGTAACCTCACACTAATACCTCGATGATAAAAATGGGTCAAATGGGGCATTGACCCTTATTTATCGATGATGTAATTGCTGTTAATTTGTTTGAATCAGATATAAATTTTTCATCTAAAAGGCTGATATACGAAAGCAGGTGTCGATAGCGGTGACGTAATTTTTTGAATGACGCATCGAGCGGGTGTTCGGTTTCAGGTTTCAGTGAATTTTAGTCTACGTATATGCAGCCTTGATTTCAGGTTACCTAAACTACAAACAAATATACATGTGGTACTATTATTTCAGTTATATTTACTTGCATTTCAGAGTATTAAACGTTAAAACTAAGTCCGTATATATATGACAATGCGATCAAGCGTGGTTGCATTGAAAACATCTGAAATACACGCATGAGCGACACCGTATCTCAATTACATGGAAATACCTAAATACCCATTTTTTTACTACAGTGTACTCCTTGTGCGATCTACTTACGTCCGGGCGTCATAGGCTTGGTATGTTGGTCGGAAACAGTATCAAAACAAATGGTTAAAAATAGTGTAATACTCCCGACTGTTTCTTCGAAATTTCAAATTATTTATAAAATAACTTTCTAGAACAAATACTTCGTAAGTATTGCATCAACATATTCAACGATTTATTTTTATAAACCCTTAATTCTCGACTTGAATTTTTAGATAGTGACTATGCAAAACCGCCTGAAATTTAGTTTAAGATTCTTGAACCACATAAGACATAATTATAAAATATAGAATCTTGAAGCCACGTAAAATGACTAAACTCTTCGCTTGTAGCTCTACAAAATGACTGAACTTTCTGGATTGAATGAATGAAGGAACAACTGAGTAGATAATATAGGTAGTTCTTGTTAATATACCTTCGAAAAACATCTAATATCGTCGACCATCCACTTGCTGATCACTTCAAGTATGTCACGATGTTCAATCAACGGAAATCATGAGTCATAGAATTTTATAAACTTGTGCACAGAATTTAGTGAATCAAAAAAGACTTATCGGAAACGTTGTTTTGTATTCGTCATTACAATCTAAGACGTTTCATTCAAACCGAAAACTCCGTTTGTAAGTGAATTTTTATTTTACATGTCCATATTTGATCCCGTAAAACAATGGGGCATTGTGATTGTGATATGTCGAAAGGCATTGCCTTTTTACGAACTCGGTGTGCATACGAGCATATATTATAATGCAAAGGAAGGCAAAGTTTTTGAATCATGTCCAAAAAGTTTTCAAACTTAGAAAGGTGGAAAACACAAATAAAAATTTGTAAAAAAGATACAGTTAAGAGAAACTTGACATCAAGTCGTCAAAAGTCATCCGGCTTCGAAACTATTCAATTGGAGATCGATCGTGACACTTTTACGTCGACTTACTACAAATGATACAATTTGAAAACATTTTTGCCAAGATTAAGCAACTTTGGTACGCAAATAAATGGAATTCGTCGGCTTGTAGAAGCGAGCAACCTGGTCGAAAGTCATCCGGTTTCGTGGAATGAAACCTTTTCGAAACTATTCCATTGAAGTTCGATCGCGGCATTATTACATCCACTATCGACTGGTACAATTTGATAAGATTCCTGTCGAGGTCAAGCCATTTTGGTACACACCGAACTGGCATTCTTCTGACTGTAGAAGCTAGCAACCTGGAAACGAGATATACATAGATTCAGATATTTATTTTTCGTCGTGTAAAAACATTGTACATTTAAACCAGGGGTGACGAACCCATATGCTGCCGCGGGCCACTTTATCAGTCACCGCTGAGTGAACGGGCCGCACAATTTTTAGTCGTACTATCGTATGATACCTGTTGTTTTTCATCTACAAAACGAACAACGGCATCCATACAGCTGATGTTATTCAATTATATAATGCAATATAAAAGCTCGGCTCAGATGTTCGAGATCCGAATTTCCTTTCGAATACCACAGCATTTTTAACACGAAAGTTTAGAGCCTACTACCTGCGTAATGCAAAATCAATTTTTAATGTACTGATTGAAATAAATTGTAGTCTTTGATATTTTATAGCAGATCTAGGGATTTCTCGGACGTTGATATAAATAGCTTGTGATAGAGACAGTTAGTGATGCAAGAACATCATAATTGTAAAACTAATTCGTAACATCGCAAAAATATGAATCAAAACTAAGTATAATCGGGCAGTTGGAAACACTTTTTATGGCCGTGGATGTGATGTGATATTTCATCGTAGTAATGAGCATCGACTTCCTTGTTTACTTCGTGACATTGGCCAATCAGCAAGATGCAAAAAGTGACGTAACAATGCCCCCTTTTTGCATCCGCTCAGACACTTTTCTCACTCAGACAGATTTTCAAGCGTGATTGTAAACATTACCTCGTTTTCGCGTTTTTGAACTCTATTCGTTAGTTTTCAGTTGTGTTTTGGGAACTTGAATAAAAATCAGATAATTCAATGATCACTCTGTCTTTCTAGGAGTTTTAATTTAATTGCAGTAATAAAAGTTAGTGTAGAAATAGCTGTGATAGACTAGCCTGAAATTCTTTACCGGTACTTTTAAAAAACAGATTGTTGTATGCGATGAAACATAATGATGGTTTGAAACACATACCCCATTTTACAGGCGCCAACTCGCAAAAGCACTCTTAAAATAGCCCTGACAATTTTGCAATGGTAAAGTATAGGGAGAATTTTTCGAGGGTCAAAGGTCGGGGAAAGGTCCATAGTAGTCATAGTCAAGTTTATTTTTTCCACCCAGTAAAAAAAGTTAACATGCAAAATTAAGACGAATAAATAATATTGAATACACATTTCACTGGGTAAGGAAAGCCGCGGGGAACCAAAGCTGGTTATCAAGCAGCGACACCCAAGGTTCGAATATCTAAATAAACATTAGTAAAGTTTTAGCAACTTGATAAACATGCAAAATTAAGGCGAATAATATTAAAAACACATTTCACTGGGGAGGGAAAGCTGCGAGGAACCAAAGCTGGTTATCAAGCAGCGACACCCAAGGTTCGAATATCTAAATAAACATTAGTAAAGTTTTAGCAACTTGATAAACATGCAAAATTAAGGCGAATAATATTAAAAACACATTTCACTGGGGAGGGAAAGCTGCGAGGAACCAAAGCTGGTTATCAAGCAGCGACACCCAAGGTTCAAATATCTAAATAAACATTAGCCAAGTTTTAGCAACTTGATTGTTGGAGAACTGTTATCATTGATGATCGATGCTTGGTAGTTGAACCATCTAATGCGATAGGTAAATAAATAACCAACATCGCATAATACAAATCAAATGTAATATTAATCAGTGTAATTCTGAACGACATAGTTAAAAACAAAGGGCTGAATTACTTTGGCCGTTGTTGAGTTTTGTAGTACAAAGCTAACAAATAATTTGAAGATATTTTCGCAAAATGTATGAACGTTTCCCCGACCTTTGACCCCCGAAAAATTCTTCCTATACTTTACCATTGCAAAATTTTTGGGGCTAATTTTAGGAGTGGTTTCGCGAGTTGGCGCCTGTAAAATGGGGTATGTGTTTCAAACCATCATTATGATTCATTGCAAACAACAATCTGTTTTTCAAAAGTACCGGTAAACAATTTTAGCCTAGTCTATCACAGCCAACGACTAACATGATCACAGCTATTTCTACACTAATTTTTGATTACTGCAATCAAATTAAAACTCCTAGGAAGACAGAGTGATCATTGAATTATCTAATTTATATTTAAATTTCCGAAACACAACTGAAAACTAACGAATAGAGTTCAAAAACGCGAAAACGAGGTAATGTTTACGACCACGCCTGAAAATCTGTCTGAAAAAATCTGAGTGAAAGAAGTGTCTGAGCGGATGCAAGAAGGTAGCATTGTTACGTCACTTTTTGCATCTTGCTGATTGGCCAATTTCACGAAGTGAACAAGGAAGTCGCTGCTCGGGGAAAGGTCCATTACATTGTCGTAGTATACAAAATTTAGTTTCAAGTTGGCCAGACCCTCTTCTTTGGGCAAGACGCTATTCGAGATTGTTTCAATCGAATCCTATTTTTATCTAGTAAAAGTATGGTCATGTATGTTACGTTAAACCTGCGGCTCTCTCTTTACTTTACCATTGCAAAAATCATGTCCCCAGTGGCTCAAAGTCTCACATGCACGGTTATGGGTCACTGATATTTGAACAAAACAAGAATGCCATCTAGCGAATAGTGAAGAGGATACACGTCGTCAATCGTTTGTTGCTTCGTTTTGTTGTTTGAAGTTTCTTGAAGTGCGTGCATCCAGCAAGATGTCTCACTGGAATCGAAATTCAGGTAAATCCACTAGTTTGGTTATGGGCTATTTCCATTTTGAATTCATGAAGGACACATGTCGGTATAGGCAGTGATAAATATATTCGGTACCGTATGTATAGATGTACGGTAAATCCTAGCGCATTACACAGTATTGTAGCCCTTGGTACCGGTACCGTACCGGTACCGGTACCGTATTTGAGTTGTTGCTCTTAGCTTTGCTCTGGGATCATTCTTCTTAATTTCGCAGTGAGTTATCGCAACCTTCTGAATTTGCTTTGAGCAGAGCTCCTTAAAAAATATCTTAAATACAATAGATTTCATTCTACAGTTCTAAAGCATGTTAAAAATGGGCATTGGTAACCTAATTACCGGTACAGCTTTCTCGATAATCAAAGTCCATGCATCTGAAACATAAAACCAGCCTATTCCGGGTCTAGTATAGTTTAGTACCACAAGTACTTCCAGTGGGCGTAGCATAACAAATTTTGAATATGTTATCCCTAACCCCCACCAGACTACGGTATGTCATCCAAAAATTACGTCACTAGACTACGTGTCACAACGGCGTCACAATCATGTCATAGAGCTTTCCAAAGTACGGTATAGTTAAGATTGCCTGAAATGGAATCTGCGACGCCGATAACGAACTTATAAACGCCGTCGTTCTCTCTTGTATCGTGATCGTTGCGACGAGAGAAAGAGAGAGATAGCTTGCTCAGTTTTGGGTGATTGTCTGCGAGTTTTGAACGACTATTATTATTATTACTATTATTATTATTATTACTCCACTGTGACGTCGCAATGATGTGATTTTTTGGTGACGTAGTCAGGTGGGGGTTAGGAATGACATATGCAAAAAATATTGAGCCAGGCCAACTAGTGCATTTGGTACTAAACTATACCAGACCCACCCATATCTGACCAGTAATGCCAACGCATGGAAGGCTGTGGTTCACACATACCGACATACAAGCTATTTCTGGAATAACCTGAATAATTTATATGTGATGTACATATTTGCATTTTCATTTCTGTAAGCACATAACACATGCACATCTTTCGTTATTAATTTGAGGTTGAATTGGAATAAACTAGACTAGATTTTGGTGATATGGTGAAGTTGGCTGTCAAATTAACACAAGAGTATGTGTTTTATCATCCACAGGAATTAGAAGCTTTCTCATGTTCGCACATGAAAGGAAAAATGCAGATGAATATAATGTTTCGTTTGAATTTCAAAGGCAGTTAAATCCTAACTCCTGAAATATTCATGGCAGCGTTTTATTACAAATCATATTTACTAATATTAAGTGAACACGTTATTTTGGAAACAGCGAATTTCAGTTGAATCTGTTTTTTCTTCAAAACCTAAGTCTGTTCTTAAATTAAAGAATGTATCGATAAATCAATCTCTCTTATATGTTGACTAGTTTTTATGCTCTTGTATATCTTCGGGCCATTAATATAATTTAATATTTGTATGCTGTATATCAGTTGAACCAAAATACAACAGTTATTAGTTTTTCAATTCAAGTTTCTATCATTTATTTACAGGTGGGACAACGTCCGGAACAGAACAAATTATGGAGTCAGAAAATGATCGCCTTGCTGATCAACTTGCTTCTAAAGTGTCAAGATTAAAAATGGTATAAGTAATAAAATACAATGCTGTCAATGCATAATTCAGATTATTAATAATATAACCAGATTACTGAAGAAAAATATTCTACATATAATTAAACAGATCCAACACTTGCCTGCTATCATTAAATAATTTTGTGTTAACACAGATAGGTGCAATGATTGACACCACAGTGTTCGTGGTTAAAACTTAGAACTTAACTATGTTTCTGGGATATGTGATTGATTTTAAAAAATTTATTAATTATTGGATTAAAATTATTTTGTCCTTCCAAATTTAATTATCTTCTGTATCAATTGCTATTGAGCTCTATTATAAATATTTTTTAAATATATATACAATTTAGTTTTTAACTAGCTGTGTGACAATTCCAATTTATTTTATGAGTTCTATATTTTTTAGTTACAATTTTGTGTTATTTTTTTTATAATTTCAGTCATTTATTTGACAGCACTTTTTTTTTTATACAACATCTACATTCTAGATAAGCTTAGATGTGAGAGATGATGTCGATGATCAGAATAAGTATTTGGATGGTGTGGTGAGTGTTTCTCATAAAAGTTTCCTCAATTAATTGTTTAGATATTTAAATTTTGTAATATAAATATGATCAAACTAGTGTATGCTTAGGTGCAATAATTAGAAACCGTTTATCAAAGCAATGACTATATTCATATTTTGTCATCCTATTCAATTATATCGAAGCTGAACTGACTTGCGAGGTTATACTCTTCAAACAATAACATTTTGGATTGTGTTCACTGTTTAAATCTATATTTTTGTTTTATTTTAACATTGTCCCATACCTGTGAATTAGCACTTGTTCATATTTTTCTCCTCAAGTGAAAACTATGATAACCTATTCTTGATGGATATATTTAGTCTATTGTCATCTAATATTTTTAATCAACTCTTTACATGTTATTAGATCATTATTTCACTTTAACAAGGGAAAGTGGAAGTCTATAAAAATTAATCCAAGCAGGGATGTCCAAAATAAATCCATATTTGAATTAATAGAAACTAATTGTATTCAATATTGGGAATAGAAATGTATGCTTTTGGATGGAATAACACCAAATAGTTTAATTTGATTAATAATCATTATTTTGAAATGCAAATTAAGTCCCACACAAGTATGATCAAAAACGCTTTTATTTAATTTTTTCAAACAGTTGAAAATATAGGATAGAACATAGAATTTACGTATTTATCACGGGGGAGAGGAAAGATAAGATGGCTGAACCATATGGCAAACCACATCCTCTCATCCGGTTACCATTCCATGGTGGAGAAAGCCGTAAATATTAAAACTAAACAAATCAATGCTTCTTCGCTGCATCAAATAAATCACTGCCTAATTAAATTTCCAGCATTCCCAAATTCAAATATACATTTGACTTCAATGTTCTTTGTTGAACATTACCCGATTCAAAATGTATTCCATGTGTGAAAATATTATTTCAGTATGTATTCACAGAGTAGTAGATTATTCGGTTTTGGCAATCCTCGGTTTCAGTGAAAATTGAATTTTGAGTCATTGTTGTTTTGACTTCATTATCAACAAAAGCTGAATCAATCTATTTAATTTTTTATTTTGAAAATACAACAGGATTCAGATTTCATGAGTACTACTGGACTACTTGGTGGGACTGTAAATAGATTTAATAACATGATAGCTGCAGGACGAGGAAATAGAAAAATGATGTGCTATTTGATTGCTTTCTTAGTAATCTTATTTCTTTTGTTATATTTCGTTTTAAATCGTACAAAGACTTGATACCATCAACTTATACCTAATATTACACAAATTGCACTTACTGGAATGAAGCTTCTAATGTGATGGTGAGAGAATATCATGATCATGAACCATTTTTTTAGGGTAATATGGGAAGTTTGTGGAGATATTACATGTACTCAAAGATTGCATGTGATTGCGCTTTTCTCATCTTGGTGAATTAGAATTTTTGTGTACAATATTGGAATTATTCTTCTAATGCTTAGCAAGATGTGCCGACTTTGGATCGTTTGGTCATTTTTATTCATTATATCTTAAATTCACCAGATACCATACTATGGTACAAATTAATGTGCTGTAATTTTACAAGTTTTATGGCTAGTTATGAGACATTTGTAGTGTTTATCTGTCAATCCAAGCATTCTTCTGATTATTGTGTCATTGCGGTTTGAACAGACTTATTTCTTTCTGTTGTTAGATTGTGAAGTATCTTCTGTTTATATTTGTGTGAAATATATTATGTTTTTTCGCTGATCGTCATTGTTGGATAGGTGTTATTGTTTATGTATTTAATGTCATAGGACCACACACTGTAGAAATTTGCACTTTTAACCATGCGATGGAGCAGGGGTGTGCAAAGTCCGGCCCGCAAGGAAAAATTGAGCGGCCCGCGAAAAAGTGCCAGTTATAAATGGTGTGTGGAGAGCGAAACAAGTTTTTAATTCAGTTTAATCTGGTTCCCTTTGCGTTGCAAAGCAAATATTCGAGTCCAATTTATTATCCATGTCTATGACCTTGCAATGTTCTAACAGCGAAGCGAACATAGCGATTCACAAAACTCACTGTTGCTGAACAGCGAGCAATTTGAGGAAAGTGCGGAGCAGTCGCTAATGAAGTAGTAAGAACGGTTAATTGAAGATTAGGCAATTGGAAAGCAGTTTGAAAAAAATATTATTAGGAGATACAAAAGCTAACACTATCAATTGATTTCGTTTAAATCCAATCCTGAATAAGATTTGACAGCAAATTATTTGGAAATGAATCCTGGCGATTTTTACCGAAAACATCACAACCAAGATAATTTCAATTTGAAAAAGTCATGGCTTCAAATATTGCACTTTTCGGCTCAACATATTCTTTTTTTGAACGGGCGTTATAAAACCATGTGAAATACGAAGGTTTAAAGAATGGATATCGAAATGCTAGCACTCCCGTGTGAAAATAAATTTAGATAACAGTTTTCAGAAATGTATACGTTTCGAATCATCATTTCTGCAAGGACCCCTAATAATGGCATATGGTCACAATAACAAAAAGAAACTATTTTGTGCCTGCAACTAATAGAAAGCCAATGTTGAACCCGCCTGCGAAAAAGACATACCTGGGCATTAAACGCCACGTGACTGTTCCGTCCGGCCCGTTAAGTTATTGAACCACGTACATTTTACGGTGCTCCAGAAGTATGCGCAGCAAGATATCGCACAACCTGAATCCTAACCGGTACACACATAATATGTTAAGGTTGTGCGCCATCCTGGTGCGCATAGTTCTGGAGGCCCCATTTTACATATCGGACTGGGCAGTGTACGGCCCCAGGACATCTACAGCCTGTGTCTCGCGTGAGTCGTGTTAATTGGAAATAACGAAATGAACATTTTCTAATTTTGCCTCATACATGGGTTAAAGTTGTATATATTGGTTTCATTTTATGGTAAAGTTTTTTCATACTCGTATATGTGCATGATTAGATCGTTTTCACAACCCGGTTAGCTTAGAAGACTATTAGCCTTCAAAAATGTATGCTCATACTAAAAAGCGAACGATATATACGACTGCAGAGTTTTTAACGAAAATAAAACGGCCACATATGCATTTTTTGTAGTCTTACCTAAAGTTGATGTCCAGTTTTCTGGGAGCGAAAAATACGAATATTACAAGACTCAAGAAAGCCAACCGTTTTATCAAGAATAAAATGCCCATGGTGCTGATTTTGAGCCGTCAGTTGATTTATGGAGCCACACAAATGTCTTATCCCGTTGAAAGTTGTATTTTCGATTGCTTTTTTATGATAATTTCATTTTGGCATGATGAAAGGTTTAAAAGTCTAATATGCACACTTTCCTGGTAGAGTAATGAGCGATGTTACACTGGATTTCCCGATTTTATTTAAACCGAAAAGACGAAAATATTCGTAGCTTTAAAATGTACTTTTTGCTGGGTATCATTTTGATCGTTTAAAAGTATCTCATTTGCAAATCCTGACCTTATGCTCCTTCTATGCTGACATAAAAGAAACCCCTTTCGCAGATAAGTATTATGAATCACACAACAATTATCGGTGCATTTATTATATTTAAAAAGCACATAAAACACGTTACTCTTCTTGTTCAATGTTCATTTGATCAAATGTGGTTCTCTAAATAAAAAATGCAAGAAAACATGAGTTCTTATGAAAAAAAATAAAGCGTCATTATTAAGTTACGGTATGTTTAATATTTTAATATACCAACACTCGATAAATCCTCTTTATTAACAAAAATCTGTTTCGGAATCAGATCATGGTTTCGTTGTGAAATGCGATACAATATCCCTCGTAAACCATGATACAATCGATGAAGGTTTACAGCACATAATAAAAATGTTGGAAACATAGAACAATGACTTATTCTATCTGGTACGCTACTTGAGAAATATTGTAAAAACATTTCAAAGAATAAATCAGAATAAAAAAAAAAGATAAAAGATGGACGTCTTTTCAACTATATAAAATCGAATATTCTGACCTTCAAACAGGTTTTCAAATTTCTCCAGATCCATAGATCCACGAGGCACTGTAAAGAGGTGTAAAATTTATATTGTTGAGATATCTACTGGTACACATATTTTTAACCCGCATAACTATATATTTATTATATATATATATATTATTTAGTAAAGAACAATGCATACAATTCATAAAAATGCCACAAGTGACACAACTTACCTTTTTTAAATCCATTTTTAATAAATGCCACAACTGACGGGTTCAAGAAGATCAAAATAAATGCAATCAAGCAAGTTAGAAATTTTACATTCATTTTAATTTCTGGTATATAGTGTGTTACCTCAGATAAACGAACTATTAATCTGTGTTAGGTGAAACATTTTTATCAAACAAAATTAATTATGCTTTCACCTAATAATTTTTTGATTTTTGCTGTTTCAAATAGTTTGCTTGAAGGTACCACTAACACGATCCATAATGTTAGCTATCTATCTTTTACTCTGAATGAGTATAAATTGATCAGCTACTATGGGCGTATATTAGAATATCCCAATGAAGTTGAATGCTCTTGAATAGGCATTAAAAGTAAAACGTGGTATCGTTTTCTGCATAAAGTAATATTATGCATTGACTTTTTCTCTGCGTAAGGAAATTGTTATCGGAAACGGCAGACAAGACAGGAAATCAGGTGATTCAACCACCCTGTCAACAGATAGTGATGGTTGTTTTCCATGCACTGCTGAAATTTTTTCACTCGATTGTTCCCTTTTGAACACAGTTCCTATCTGGAGGTATTCCTCTGATACAAGATGTTACAAACACTTGTGCGACAAATGAATCGAATTGGCTTCTTGGACCGAGACAAAATAATCATCTCATCTCCTGTGTTCTATCTAAAAAGAAAGACAGTCTCACTTAAGTCAATCAGATTAAGTCAACATATCCCACATAATCCAATGTGAAAAATGTTATAAAGTATTGCATAATCTGACCAAAGTATATCGCTATACCACAATACTTTCATAGACGTTTGCGGAATATCATGACAAATCAGGTAGAAAACAACATTCACGTACACGACGAGCGTTCCCGAATCTGGTTATCAGTAGTGTGTAGCCACTGTAGCTGAATGTGCATATCTGTTAAAATGACACACCTATAAGTTATCATATAAATGAACTGATTTGTTGTTCAAACTAAGGTCATTACTTCATTTGAACCAGTAACATTTAATGGAGTGCCTCCAATATTTCACTTAGTTTGTTACATAACATACACGTACACAATATACGAAAGTTTTTTATAAATGTTTCTAACATCAAATTCAAAAACATAATGTATAAATTTATGATCACGATTCATTCGTCAAATCATTGCGAATCACAATCTGTTGACATGGCGGGTAAACCATGCGTGTTCCTTTTCCGGCCTACCCGTTTCCGAAAACAATTAACGTGAGCAATTAACTGGTGTCGCTGCTCGATAACCATGCCTGGTTCCCCGCGACTTCCCTTCCACAGTAAAAATGTGTTTTCAGTTTTGTATTTTGTTAACTTCGTATGTTATTTTTTACTGAATGGGAAAAAATAAACTTGACTATCAGCAGAGCTCAAATCAACACAAAATATAAATATTTATATGATTACTATCATGAGCACAAACGCGAAAATGCACCCTTTCCACATTGCGATATTCTGGCAACCTGTGCTTCCAAATCGTTTTGCCAATGTTTCATTTTTATGTTTTTTATCTATTTTTCCGAAACCTGTAGATAGCGTAAATTTGAGAACCTGTTTGAAAAACAGAATATTTCGACTTTAGTAGTAAAAAAAGCTTCCGTATCCCATTTACCGTTTCACAGGATGTCATTGTCTTATGGTTTCGTGGTAGGTTTCAAAATATATATCTTTGTTTTACGTCGTATATGCAGGATATTGTAAAAATATCGCAATCATATTCTACTACGATTTCAAATTTCATTACGATTACAATTTCATGCTGTTATTCAAATAATAAAAATTCTATCCCCCGATTTATAATTTATTTGTTTTTTATATAAAATTCACAGTATTCCTAATTTAGAGCACGAGTGTTTTTATATTTACAACATGTCTGTTTTTTTCGCATAGCAATTAGCAATAGCAACATAAAAAAGAGCATATAGGGAAGATCGGCAAATGTGAAACTTTGAAAGGGTTACAATTATGGATCATTTTGTTATTATGTTTATGTTGTTGATATGGTTGGCAACGATCGTACATAGGGATCGTTTTGTTATTATGTTGTCAGAATTCTTTTTCTTGTTGTTGTTATGAAAAAATCGCATTTTTCATTGGAGAATTTTTGAGGGCTCTATGGGATCCTTTTTTGTGTGCGACATGTCATCAAAACTGAAAACACGAGAGCAATGCTCAAATATATGGACACGTAGGCCAGAGCAAATCAGTCCTTACCGGTACCATTGATGCTACCGGTACGCTCAAAAAAGTTCCGGATTTCCAGTAGCAGGAATTTTGCAGAATCAAAACGTACAGCCAGTCATCACGCGGACTAAAATCCGTGCTCCCATGGATAAAAATAATACAGCGAATTTTGGACGAAATACCAAATTTCATAGAATTCATACAAAATTTAAAAATAAATAAAAATAATAGCCTTCATGGAAAAATTTCATCTTTAACCACTGAAAATTTTGAAGCAATTGGTTCAGTAATCAAGGAGAAAAACGAATTTTCCAAAACGATACGAAGAAGAAGAAGACCAACAAGAACTAGATTACCAAAAATATGAAAACGATCCATAGGTCCACTCACGTGTCCAACAAGAACAAGCATAAGTACAACAACAAAAATACAAAAACGATCGTTATGTCCACTAACGTGTCCAATAATTGCGCACTTTGTGGTGGTTCGCGTTAGTGGTCGGACGAAGTCGTAAGGACTGCGGTACCGGTCGTCTACTATGACAGATTAAACCGTAATGCTTCGTTTTGGCATTTTGTTCATATATGTAAGCGACGCTCTCTTGTTGATCACGAAATGTACATAACGATCGTTTTGTTATTATCTCGTTATTGCTGTTGTGTTATTATGTTGTTGGTATTTTCTTGTTGTTGTTATGAGAAAATCACCCTTCTCTCTAATTATTGGACCAATTGAAATATTTAGTGGTCAAACATTGTTTTTGTCGCTAGAAGGTATTGCAAATATATTTTTTTTAATTCGACAAAGTCATGAAAATTGCGCACCTTGTGGTTACGCGTTCGTTGCTAGCTGGTGGTCAGGCGAATCTTGAGCGTTTGTAATGCGCTCATTACCGCACTTATGATTACCTTCTGTGGATTCGAATCCCGTGGGGATAGTTACGTTCGAGAGGATTGCTGGACTCCTCGGCGCAATAGGGTCACGTAAACGCTGATCTGTTCCGGCTTGCTCTACCATCAAATTCGTGCATCTAAAACTGGCTAACTAATCCCATACCCGACGTGGACTGGTAACTGGGCGAGAGGCGTGATTGGCCGTACGCTTGAGTCATCTCATCGACTTTCCTCTCCCCCAGATTAAATATGTAAATCCTATACTGATAATAGACTGCAATCTACTTTGAAAAATTGCATAGGCCGCCCGTGCTACTTCGTATTGGCATTCGTGTTCATATATTTTAGCATCGCTTTCTTCTTTCATAAACTTTCGCGCCGTCGTCGCAGAGTTTAGTATTCACACGATATTTTTTCCGTCGACCGCGTTTCAAAATGCCATTTTTTGCATAAAATATGTTTAAAATCGCATATCCTCGTTTGTTTTATTGCTATATTTTGATGTTGTCGAAGTTGCTGCAGTTTTACATTAAATTTGTTTCGTCACCGCTAGTAGCCTACTTGTGTACCTACCCGCCCTTTGGCTCGGTTGATGCGGCTTGTGAAACGAAACAAACGCGCGTCCCACGCATCTTTGATTACCCGGCGTGTGCTATAATTATAAGTAAGGCTATACGTTTATTTCGACTCTAATCAGCAAAACACACGATAAAATGAATCATAAAAATAAATAAATAAAACTGATTACAGAATCAAGATGATGTATTGGAGTATTTGGTTGTACACCATTAAGTTTTAACCGGTATGTTAGTCGTTGGTTTTAACCATCACCATTGTTATGAAAGTTACGGGCTCCTTAATACACGTTCTCGGATTGCCGTGTTTATCGAACTAGAAAGAATGTTTCTGCAATATTATTTGGACGAGAACGGAAAGCGAAAGCTCATTCAGTCAGGTTCTCTCCAGATGACTCATCGAAGCAATGAATAGCCTGCAAGCCACATTTCGGACTGGACTATTATTATCTGAGCAACCAAAGCCTGCCACGTGGAAAACGTGTTTAATAAGAAATATACCTATACCGGTAAGCTAAAAATCCTCATGTCAATTTTATCAGGTGGGTTGTGTCTAGTCTTTTGTGTCACTGATGGTAATTGGACAAATTTTTTGAATGGGCCGTTATAATGTGAGTGATATACTAATGAAGATACCAGGGTTTTTCTATTATTATCTGACTTTGAACTCATTTGTCCAAATATTTTTCTCAAAGGGCCCATTTTTTGAATGGGCCGGTATAATGTGAGTGATATACTAATAAAAATAACAGTGTTTTTCTATTATTGTCTGATTTTAGACTCATTTGGTTAGTTATTTTTCTCGAAAGTTTTTTCAAACACCTTTTCAGCAATGTCCAATCAGTTCAATTTTCAGGACTTTTTATTAGTTCAAGTGTTTTGCAAGTTCGATACATTCGCTTTTTTCTGTTTATTCCTGGCCAAAACCTCGTTTTATTGAGTTTGGGTTTTTTGTGTGCTGGTGAGCGGACATACGATATTTCTTGTGTTTTGAACTTTTTCAAAGGTTTGCTTGCTCTTCAGAATTTTCACTTTTTAATTAGTGTGTATTATGAATTTTTTAAAATAAATAAACTATTTATATAAAAGTGCTGCTAACGATATCCATTATAGATCCTCCTGCGTCGGATAACTATTATTTTGTACTAGGGTTACCATTTTTTTGTGACCTCGAAGCGGGACGCCTCCAAAGACCATATCTATGATTTTTTCTACTTTAAATGGTACACAGCAGTTGCGCTACACAGCAACAACAATATCGAGAACATGATAATTGGTATATATTGTTCTTGTATTAGGCTGACTGACTGAACACCAAATCTGGACTTTTGGCTGACAGGTCGGCACCCCGAGACAAGACGTTAAAAAGTGGGGCTGCCACGCCTAAAACGGGACGTATGGTAAGCCTATGGAGACATCTCTAGATGGGCCAATAACTGGGTTGCTTTTAAGTCTGCTGTTCCAAATGTTATTTCGTTCATGAATGAATTTCAATCATTCCCCCGAATCATCGGATGTATGTGACGCAGTGGGATTTGTAGATAAATACAAAAAGTGATTTTGACTTACTTTTTGGTCCTCTACCAAAGAAAACACTTTAATCTGATGACCTCATAAGAACCTATAGCCTTCAGGGTGAAATCAACATGTTGCAAAATTGCGGCAACCAGATTCACAACCATTGGATTACTGTATTGGAAAAGGGAACATAGGTTTCCATTGTTCAAATCTAGTGCGAAAATTGTGTTGATCATAAGTCATCTGCTGCAGTAGAGCGTACGGACTGATTTAGTACGGACTGATTGTAGTTGAGTAAGCTACGACAATGTTGCTCTTGTTATAAACCTTACTTATGTACATTTGTTTTGCATATAACATGAAAAAAACGATTTATTATTAACAGGAAATTAATAATTTGCTGAATGCGCAGAGTGACTCATAAATAGAATAAGAGTGCCAGAATAATACTGAATTGTCT